TTGGAGACAAAGCAAAAGAGACTAGTGGTGGCTTAACTCATCTCACCAAATGCACAACAGATATTTCATAGGTTCCAACAGCACATGCCGCTTATTCAGCTGCCAAAAGGCAAGTACAATAAATATTTGCTAGTACCCTATACAGTTTAACATATAACCCCAGAAAGGAATTCTTAAGTAACTACAACAAATGTCATCCACGAAACACAGGAAACCGACACGAGGAAATTCATCGAGACACACCTATATTCTGGAAAATTGTCTGGACGGTGTTCCTACGCCAGCAATTCAACACCAGCCAGGAGGACTAGAACCAGACATGGTTCTAATATCAAAAATATAAGCCTTTTCTACGGGCTAGCACATCTGACTCGGGGAAATGCTTTTATGAAGGTTTCTGGCTTTACTTACCCACCAAAACGCGTTATAGCAGATATATGCAACCTAGGGGCTACTCTAACCTACCTTCTTCACCCGGTAGCTCCGAGCACACAACACGACCCACTCACCATGGCGCTGCCCCCCGATCGCGGGGAGCGCTCCCGCCACTCCCAGTGCCCCTAACTCCGCTCACTCCACGCAGGCCAGGCCTCAGCGCCGCCGAGCCGTGGCCTCCATCTTGGAATAAACCACTCACAAACGGGGGGGAACGCGATAGGCAGCCGCTCCGGGCAGGTTTGGGGTTTTTTCTTCTTCACTGAAAAAAAAAAAAAAACAACGAGCGTTTTCTCAGACTGAAATAGTATTTTATTAAAAGAGAGGTTCTGTGAACGCAAGAGAGGTTGCTTTTTCCCGTCCGCCAGGGACACATTTTCCCGTTTCTCCCCCCAAACTAGTGGTTCCGCCCACCAGCGGCCTCTCTGGGAGAGCGGTGTGCGGGAGCCAAGGGACAACGCGCATGCGCAGAGGCCGGGCCGCCGCTCGCAGGAAGAGGCGGGGGAGGGCGGGGCTTGGTTAGCGGGGGACGTGGGGATTGGGGTCTGAATTTGAAGGGTGAGAAATAAATAACACGTAGTCATATTGAGAGTGTTTTGCCATATTTGAGTTCTTATTTCTTACGAGGAAAGGCTGAGGGAGCTGGGCCTGTTCAGAGAAGAGACTACCCACAGGGGACCTCATCAATGTCCATAGGTATCTCAAGGGAGGGTGTCTGGAGGATGGAGCCAGGCTCTTTTCGGTGGTGCCGAGCAATAGGACACGAGAAAATGGGCAGAAACTGATGCACAGGAAGTTCCACCTGCGCATGAGGAAGAACCTCCTTAGCGTGTGGATAAGTGAGCACTGGAACAGATTGTCCAGTGAAGTCTCCCTCCCTGGAGATACTCAAGAGCCGTCTGGACACAATCCTGTGCCATGTGCTCCAGGGTGATCCTGCTTGAGCAGGGAGGTTGGACCAGGTGACCCACTGTGGTCCCTTCCATCCTGACCCATTCTGTGGTTCTGTGATATGACACATTAGCTGTAGAAATTTTACCTATGCTGCACAGTGCATAGACAGTGCTGTGCACAGGCACAGGCACGCACATATAGGCTCCTTGCTAAGAAAGAGAAAAGTATGCTTGGTATTTTAGGAATATGATGTAAACCTGTTTTGTTACATTTCAAAAAGAAAATGTAAAACAGAAGGGACAGGGTTTTTTCCTATATTCATACAAGCAAATAACAACAGCTAAGAAGAGGTTGTTACTGAAAATTCAGAAAAATTATTCAAATTATGTGTGTATATGTATGCAAGTAAATATATATATGCATATGTGTACCTTAAAATATTGGGTTCAGTCATATTTGAGTGGATTTCATTGGCTCTCAGTAGGTGTCACTAAAGCTCCAAAAGAACCCAAATTTTCACTGTTCTGGCTGTTATTTTCTAAAGTCTTGCATCTTTACTGTCAGGTTTCATCACATCACTCTTATGGAAGTGCACAAACTAATCTGATCAGCTCCATCAGTTGAAATTACTCCTGTACTCAGAGGATTCAGATTAGCTCTGGATTTATCACTGCAAAGGCTAGAGTTTCCTCTTGCAAAAAGTACATGGTGAGCATCTTGTTGCCATCTGAAGGTTGTAGTAGACACTCAAGATACAAAAAGGTGTCCTTTGACTGCATGCTGCAAATTTTCAGGTTTTTCAGGACTGCACCTCGCAGCAGAAACTCCTCCCTATAGTGTCTGTACTGTAAACCCAGTGACAGGTAGAATAGCAGAGCTGGCTTTTCACAAGGTAATTAAGACTAGAATCACTCAGCTGTTGAAAATACAGTGCTTAGCATTTATCTGTGGAGTAATGATGTAGATTAAATTACTCCTTATTGCTTCCAGGTCCCTGACATAGCTCTGGCATACACAGAAGTGCAAAATACTTGTACATAGACTTGGTGACAGGATTACACTTCACAGTCCCATAAATCTGGTGACCTCCCTATCTAATAATGGCAGTACTGTCATTCCATATACCCCAAATCTGGTCTAGAAGCATCGTATCAGTTTGGAAGTGGGAAAAACGAGCTTTTGCTCTCAACTGTGTGGCTAATCAGCTGTTTCGTATGTGTAAGTTAAGTTTACCTGTTTCATTAAGTCTGAGGGTTTTCTGTCTTGCTTTCATTCACATCCCCACCCTGAATTTCCTGGTTAGAGTCTAAGCATTTAGGGGGAAGGATATGTATTATATGTTCACACAGAGAATAAAACAACAGGCTCCCTCCCATATCACAGAAGATTGATAATGTATACAAACAGTAATACATCTGGAAATCAGTTTTAAGATTTAGGATTAACAATAATAAGCATCATGTTGCCTCCTTTGTTGATACCTAAGGGTGAGTCGTCTCCTTCCAACTGATTTATGATACATCAAAATTCAAAATTTAGTATCACATGTATTTGAAATGTATATGAGAGAATCTCTTGGAGACTCTGCTTAAGCTTCTCATTTCATCCAAGCCTTACAAGGTCATCCATCCGACTGTACTCTCTCACTGGCTTCTTTGCAGAGACTCTTCACACTTTAAACTCAGAAAAGAGCATCTACAGAGACTAAAGGGAAAAGTGCTTAGGTTACTAACCATTTCTTTTATGCTTGCAGAAGAAGAATGGTCAATATTGAAATGGTCTGTCAAGGCAGACACTTAAAAATAATATGCTGGAAGGATATCCTTAACATGATCATCAACTTGCCTTCCGTGTGAGAAAATTTATGATAATATTTTTGTCTTAGTTCTTGCAAAGCAGAAATTATTGCAAAGTAATTAAAAACCCAAAGTTATTGTCAGTCACTTTGTAGTTAAAAAATTGGCAGACACACTGCAGACTATGTTGATCCTCAGCTATGCAGATCAGTTTTGTCCATGTGCAGTGGGTGTAATTCTGTTGCAAATCTACTGTCAATGACACTTGAACTAGTGAAAACCACTTCTTGATGATAAAAAAAAATTGGGAAACTGGGAACATGGATTAGGTCTCTGAACCACTGAGCTATCACTCTTTATTTTTATACCAAGTATCACTTCATTGAACACACCACTACACAATAGACCACTCACGAGGGAGCTACCAGATATGTTTGAAGGACCTTGGAAATTCAAAGGAAGATTTTAGGAACCTTTCTTCATCTCAGTTCCATGAAGAGGGGTTTTTAATTTGGTCTCTCAATTTAACTCTTTTATATATGTCCATGTACATGCTAAAGATTCAAGAACAAAATATTTTCTGTATTTTATATTTTTCAGATGATGATATTGGAATATATTTGTGTGCATGTATATATATATGTATATGTATATATATATATAGTAGTGTATATATATATACACTACATTACAGATAAAACCTCAAGAAGCAGCTATCATTAATTTGTAATAATTCCAGTATTCCAGTTACTTATATTCTCAGATATCAATACACCTGTGTAAAATGCAGTATCAGATCAACCAGTTCTTTATAGTTACCATAATCAATCACACTGAGTCAAGTTGCCAAAGTACAGGTAGATGCATCCTTTTTACAATTGTTATGTAAAATATGCCCTCCATAAGCTGAAAAGTTATTTGTATTGATTCTCCACGGCTTTACATGTTTTGAAAGTAATGAAATGTGGAAAGTACACTTTAAAGAGACAGGAATTCTAAGCTGAAAATGTTTCAGATACATTTTGTGTAGTTACCGGTAACTATCTAGCATGCCAGGCAATGGGAAACCAAGGCTTGAATTTTGTTTGCCTTAGTTTACCTGTAAATAGGAACATTTCATGAAATTCAAACAAGTTACTTTGAGAATAGTTTGTTTCTATTTCCAAACAAACTAATAGAAACAATAAAGTCTAAGAACTGGCCCAGTGCATATTAATAGGTGATACTCTCCATTACATGCTGCAAAATTCCAATGAATTCACGTGAAAATTTCATTTTAGGTGATTGTGCTGCCTTACAGTACAGTCAGCTCATAAGAATCTTCTGGTTTTACTGGACCCTCTGAAGACACTACTGGAACACTGATGTGGAGGGGTTATCAACCTTCCTTACTGGAGTCGTCTCTCAGAGGTGACCATGTGGACTTGATTGGAAGAGGCATGTATGCAACGATTCCTACTACTGAGTAGTACCTTGCCCTGCCAAATTGCAGCTCTGCCAAAGGCATACATGTTCTTGAGTGGTCCATGTTTAAGGTACATTTGGGTCTACAAAGCATGGCATACTAATAACGTCTTTATTTACTGTTTGGGATATTCTGTAAAATGCTGGGAGGGGACGCAATTTATTAGCTCCTGAGCGTACAGCAATGTGGTCTACAGCATTCTTGTGCCTCTCTCAGATTTATGGTTTGGTTGTAAATGGAATTCTATTTCTCTTTTAGGGAAAAAAAAAAAAAGAAGTCTTAAAAGCTATTTGAATGGTTGCAGGCAATTAAGCACGTGCCATCTCCACACCCTTCCCACCCTGCGCACACAGTCCCATTCAAACAAGTCATTTATATATTTTTGTTTGAAATCACACCCGCTAAAATAATAATCCAAAACACAGTATTTTTTTAATTCCAAAATTTATGCAAGTTTACAAATCAGTATACCACCACACAAAGTAGTGAAAGAAGAGAAGATTTGTTCAGCAACATTTTACTATATCATAACAATGTTCAAATATTGTTGAATTTGACATAGTATTGAAAGACTTTTTTAATATAAAGAATTAATGATTGAACAAGGAGATACAGGGAATACCATTACTTTCTTCAGTTCTATCCAATGCAATATTTACCTCCTAGAAAATATTGGTGATATGCTGTATCTAGTTCATATGAGCTCTATTGCCATTAAAAACCTGAAACAAGGTGGGAACTGACAAAGTGAAACAAGAACTTATTAATTATTAAAGTTAATAAATAGAAACATTACAGCAAAATATGTTCATTTCACTCCTTTTCTCCCTTTCTCTCTATACATATACTTCCATGAGTTTTGGTGGGGTTTTTTTTCCAGATTTCTGTTAAATAGAAGCTTTAAGCTATTCTAGAGAATTTACTTTTTTTCTTTTTTTAAAATTTGATCCTCAAAATATTTTTGCATCAACCTAATAAAAGCTTTCAGAATCACTTTTTCTATTAAAATCTAGGTCCCAGCAGTGAGCATTGCACTGAGCTTTGTACAGTAAGAATACGGATAGAAACAGTAATGGAACTAAATGTGGCCCGTAAAGGCAGGAGGCAAGTCTATCCTTTTTTTTCACCCTGAGTATGTTTTTATTTTAGTTTGCAGCAGTGGCACAGGTCTTAACTCCTTAAGAAATTACCAAAAAGAGATGATGTGAAAGCATTAAAAGATGCAGTTCAGGTGTGCCTGACAGTTTCATGCAAATGTAGGCTTTTAGCTTGGTTTGCTTTATCATTAAAGCATTAACAGACATTAAGACATGGGTGGATATTCTAGTCCCTGCTTAGTATGCCAGCAGTGCTCACACAGACCTGTCCTGCTAGGTAGCCAGGTGACAGTGTGGCTCTTCCTACCCTGGCTCCAACCCCTGCCGGCTGCAGCCGATGAAGGGATTTCAGCTGATTCCCAGGCTGCCAGACTAGATTAGACATTTTTAGTCTGTGCTGGCTGGATCTTCCTCCCACTTTATGATGATACAAAATTAGGGCTCAGATTAAATTTATAGTCAGGTTAATTGACTGCTGTTTTGAAACGAATTCTCTGATGTAGCTGTAGTAGTACTTGTTACAGCTCTGAGTTTGAAGCATTTCTACAGGAAACAAAGCACTAATCTCACCTGGAAGGAGTGGTCTAATGGTCTAATTTCTTAATATCAAGGGTGCTTTAATGCCTTTGTTTCACAGCTTTCATTTCATTTTCAAGTTAAAAAATAAGAAGTGGTCACCTGATAAGGTTTTTACATATCAACACTGAGGCTATGGTGCTTCTCTAAGAGGTACTTAGTGTGGCCAGAGCAGGTGGTGGGTATGCCCTGCCCCACACCACATCAGAGGTCAGGAAAGGCCACCACAGCAAGGGACATGGACAACTGTAGGTAAATGATAAACTCAACAAATAAATGCAGTCTTGTAGACCTACAAATGGCTGTGAACACTTTCAGTGATTTTGAAGAGATGGTGCTCCTGGTCCTAACATGTTTCAAATCACCAGCTGAAATGGTATTTAGCTTAAGTAATCATTAGCATTTAGTTTAATTTTTTTTTTTTTGTACTTGTTGAGTCAACATATATATTACAATTTGAGAAAATTCATATAGAATGTATTTCAGCTAAAAAGACTAATATGTATTACCTGAGAGAGACAAGAGACATTGTAAAATCATTTACATTTTTTATGTGAAGAAGAAATTAGGATTTGATTAAGCATCCATTCTTTTGCACCCACAGCAACATGGTATGATGCATGATTCTACTGATAAACATGATATATGAGGTAATTTCAGAAACCACTACTTCAAGCTACTAATTTTCTCTTTGTATGCCTGTAGACATCTGAGTTCATATATGACTCTGTGGAACATTAGGTATAATATGTGTAAGGTTTGTCATATGTTGTGGATGACATTTAAATTATTTGTCCAGTTTGATAAAAATTAATATACTATTAATACCCTATTAGCCAGCTGGACTGTACTATGTGTCACATGGAAAGTGTTACTTTTGTTTTGCCTTTTCAGCATATTTTTATTTTTTTCCTCAAGGATTACTCACTTATTAATTTCTCAGGACTTATCCTGATTTTTATCTTCTAACAGGCACGCGGCCCCATAGACAAGTATACAGCATATTATTTCCCATGGGCTGTTGATGCAACTTGAAGACATTTCAAATCATCGATACAGAGGGTTAGGAGAAGCAGCAGAAACAGACTTCAGGCAGCTCAATAAGGTAAAGCAAACTTGCTTCACTTCGCATAGTGACATACCAAATTCTCATTATTTTTCATTGCATGGATAACACTTTCCAGCTGTTGTTTTTCTGCCCGTTGATCTTTAGAATATAAAAATAGTATATACAATTCTATGTCTGTGTGTGGGTATAATACAAAATGGATAGTTTATAGTTCTAATTCTGCAAGCATACTACATTTTTACATAAGTTTCAATAAAGCCTTTGTCCAGTTACATAAATTTGCTTAATTAGTTTGCTGAATTGTGGGTCAAAGAATGCATCTGATTATCATAAAAAATAAAAAAGAAATTAAAAATTAACTCAGCATCTCCATCGAGGCTAGTGTTCTGCCTCTAACAATGGTTTGTAGTGAATACTTTAAAAAAACCTCCAACCCCAGAAGGAGGATAGGAAAAGCCTAAATGACACCTCACCTAAGTATCCTCATTTCTTATGACATATTGCAGCTTGAAGAAGTCTGAGCTAGAACTTGTATCCTCACCTTTGCATTTTAACTATTAAAATGAAAAGGCAGCACATAACTTTCCATCCATGCTCCAGGCCTAGAATAGAGGAATGTGTTCTTGCAAAGTCAAGTATTTAACTTCATCCTAAGAGTTTAACAAGTTTTACTTTGCTTGTGTAACCCATATGTACCCTGGCACGTGAGAGGAGCTACTGTCTTATATAAAGTATATATAGTCTTACCTTATCTTTGTCCAAGTTATTCTGCCTGTGCAACAGCTATCCTTCTGCCTTTAGTATCTTGGCTGCTTTCAAGTGTTTTGATGGGATTAAGGCAACACTGAGGTCTATTTAATTGCTTCACTTGTTTCCTTTGAAGTGAAATACTGTGTTTTATACTTCAAAGTCAACATAGTAGACCTTTATATGATTTTGGACACACATTTCTAAATTTGGCAACATCAGCAAAAAAAAAAAGTTTAAGCAGAACTCTTCTAGTATAAGTTTTAAGTTTACTCATCAAATTCTAAAAATAAAAATTAGCATTGTACCAGAATTGCTGACAAACCTTAACTCTAATGGCTTGATAATTCCTACATGATTTAGTGCCAAAGAATACATTTTCACTGCTTCCTTGATGTCAAAGTAGTGTTTCTATATTTTTAAAATGATGGGCCTCCCAGAAGCTAAACTGTTTTCTGCAGATGGAATCCTAATGGCTCTTATTGATTCCATTAAAAAAGGAAGGTGCTGCTTGCTTTTCTTTGCTACAAGCATGTAGATGGTTATTTTATTTTGTTATTGATATTTTGGGCCTTGTACCTCATTAGATTTTTTACTAAAATGTAAGGGATCCTAACGTCATAAAAATCTTCTTTAAAAATGGTTTACCAATCTCTTTAAAAATAATAGAGTGACGGCTGTTGGAATGCACTCTCCTGTTATTAGAAGTGCTCTTTGCTAAAATAATCCACCCCATTTATGCAAACCTGGTCTTGTTGTAAATAGCACTGAAGAGCGATATCTAATTTTAGCCACCAAATTGCCTTTCTGCCTTTAGGCTGACATCTAAAACAACAACCTTCAATTTTATAAACTAAAAACATTCCACAAGAATCTATTGCAGATTTACTGAGGTAAAAATCACATCTACACAGATCTTTTATTGCCAGAAAAGGAAATACTTACACTTCATAATTAAAAACTGAACAGGGCACATAAAAGACAAAAATAAATTGTAATATGTACACACATTAGAAAGGATAAATAGCAAATATACTGTAATACTGCATTAAAAGTATGCATATGTGAATTCCAGACCCACCCCCCAAATGTTGTGTACATTAATCAAAGGATAAATAAGTGCTAATATAAGACAGAAAATTTCTTAGTGTAAACAATGCCATGGGCTTTTTAATGGGCCTTTGGGCCAACTTAGAAAAATCATGTATTGCCTTTCACACTCCATACCACTTAATTTTAATAGTACTGTATTCACATATACTATTTCAAGATAGTATAAAAAATTACAAATCTAAGAAGCATTCTTCACACTGAACAAAAGCAGGCTGCAGACACTCCAAGGATTTTCCTTCACTTTTACAGGACCACTGGCTGAAGACATACTGATCATCTGGGAGTTCTTCCTCAAAGCAATGCAAGAGTCCTTAAATGGAAAAAGTCACATTAGTAATCACTCCTCAAGCATACTAGCAAAGACTTCTGTGCCTAATTTTATTCTGCTTTTGGATTCACACTGGCATGATGTCGAAGTCACCACTGCCTGCCATGATGAGAAAGATAATGATCCCTCTGGTTTGAATGGCAAGTGACAGACAGCAGGGAGTGTTTCTAAACATGAAGCATTTCATTGAACGTTATCAAACTTCAAATCCTCTTTATGTCTTTCTGAGGATCCAGAGTATGTTAACATTAAAAAAACAAAAAATATGTGGCTTTTTCTGTATGAATGTTCAATGTATTTTCCTGAAGCATGCACATTGGGATTTTAAAAAAGACAGATGAGTTAATTTCTGGCAACTGTATTTACTGGCACCAAAGAAAATGACAGTTCTTCACTAAAGTACTGGTAACATGAGGACTTATGGCTTGCTGTCTTTTTAAAGGTAAAAACAGCCTAGGAGAATTCCAGACTTTCCCATCTCAAAAAAACCCAACAAACCCAAAGCCCCTAAAAAAACCCAAAAAAAACCCCAACCAACAACTTTGTTTCTAGCATTGCACAAAACCTCCTAAAAGCAACTTCTGAAAATTCTCCAAAAATAAAACACATGTCAATAGGCATAAGGGAGCTGAGATCTTAAATACTTCAAGTTGAAAACAGCAACTCAAACACACCAAATAAAACATCATCCTCCTCTCACTTTTACCAGCAACAAACATTGGTGTTAACAATGGATACGAATTCTCCCCAAGTACATCCAAACTCTCACTGAGATCCAAAATTTTGCATTTACAGAGAATGCTTAACTGGGACCATTATTAATGCTTCAGCCATTTCACACTGACAAGGCTTCAGTTTTATCCTTACAAACATTATAATGACTGAGTGTGCACGTGCATTTTGAATACCGTGAAATCTTACTCAAAAGAAATCTCAATTTACAGGTCTTTTAATACTAGTATATATATAAAACCCTTATTTCTGAGCCTGACAGCTTACTTTCATCTTTTCAACAAAGGATAATTTATAGGGCAAGTCTTCCTTCACAACTTACCTTTGGTACTCGTTTTCTTGGTAAAGTTAAATTTAAATAATTATTAGAGATGGAGCTTGATGATTTTTCTGAACCAAGATCGTTATTTTCTCCATTTTGCTTCTCACCAGCATCTGTTCAAAAAACAACATTATTTATTTAGATTTATTTTTAAATTATTTTGATTAAGCCAAAGCTTTCCAGTTGAGTGCTAGTAGCAATTATANCACACTCTTTTTTTTTTTCCTTTAAATAATTCTTCCCACTGTGCATCATTAGGCAGTTCCATCCATTCCACTTTTCTCTGTGGACTGACAAGCGAAGACTCTCTTCCCCCAGCTCTCAGTCCTTCTCACACAACCCCTCCCTCGCAGTTACCCTCAGTCACAACCCTATGAAATCTGATGAGTTCCTGGTAGCCAGGCTCTCAAGCGATTGTCTTCAGCACTTCCTGACTTGTGGAGCTCTGATGAAGAAGTCCACCAACTTGTCTGTGTGGGGTAGCCACAGACTGTGGTCTGTCTGAACACGGACAAATGCTTCACGTGAGTTCTCCTCCTAGACAAATCATTTGTCCATTGATAAAGACGAGGGCCACTTTCTTCATTAACGTGAGGGTAAACTGTAGCACACACTCATACTTAAGTTCCAGTGCAATCTCAGGTCTTCAGGATGCAATGATTTCCCAAAAGAAAACTGTTACATGAAATATGGGATGTGGTCAAACTGTTATGGACGATGAAACCTGAAAAGATAAATTAAAAAACTTGGAATTATATTATTTCAACTGAAAATGAATCTGATCCTCATCCTGCTCTCATAGCTGTTTACTTTTTTGGCCCAAACAGAATTATTCCTGATTTTCCTGGTCTATGTGGGTTTAGAGGCACACTTATTATCACTCGCTGTCCATCTCTCTCTACTTATAAAACCAAACAGGGATTTGGTGTGGCTCAAGCACTGGTGTATCACTGTCTGTCCATACCATTAACCTGTCACTGTGGTCCCTGGCATGGTTTGGCTTGGGTCAACCAGCTCTTTCAGGTACTGCCTGGGCGTGTTTGGCATCAGCACAGGACAACAGGCAAGCTCGGTATGGGGGGACGTCGCCCTGTTTTGGCGTGAGAGGGATAGGTTAATTGTATGAATTCAAGCTATGCCAAGCCTGCCTCAGGGCCAGAGAACAGTGTCCAGTCTGTTTTGTTTGCCAGTATAGATTTAGCCATAATTGCATCCACTATTTGGATGACAGTAGCAACTATGGGAAAAGCTTTGATATAAGACTTAAATTTCTGGGTTTTAATCCTTGTGCAAAATGAGGCTAAAAAAAGGTTGCTTTTTTTTAAAGTAAGCAACAACTTTTATAGCACTGCAGATGCTTTCTTCCTATTATCAGCTGAGGCACATGAAGGCCCAAATATATCTCACTGTTTTTTAGGCTTTTAGGTAGAGCATGTACATTGCTCCAGATTGCCTGTATGATGGCTAGAGAGATGGATTGCTCCAAAAGGTGTCACCAACCTTTTCTACAATAAGTTAGGAACCTACAGCAATTGAAATTCTAACTCATCTTAAATGTAATGAATACAAGCAAAAGGGTAAGAAGGACACCAGTATCAGGTTCTTAATGTATCTATCATCAGACATAAATATCTCTTTAAATGGCTTATAAAATGTATCTGTCCATAAAGTAGTAAAATATGCAACAGCTTGAAAAAAGGCACAGGTAATGATGCACGTAATACAATGGATTTACCTAAGTTTTTGTTTGACACATTTTCTCTTAATAGTTCCAGAGAAGAGAAAACAAGCCACACATTACCCCACATTACAAGCTGATTCAGTACAATACAGGGATGCATTTCTCAAATAAAGGAGGTGTACACAAAAGCTGACATTCACAAGTATGCAGCTCATCTGCTAAGTGAAGGTACAGTGGACTGCAGTAAAGACATAGGGGTTTTGTATTTGTGTTGAACGATATAGTGGACTATATATAGCATTTCCATTAGAAACACTTTATTAACTAATATCCTCTTTCCAAACTTCTATGTATTTCTCTATTTTTAGAAACTTGGTTTCTTGGATTCTCTCATGAAATAACAGAAAGAATCAGTCTAAATTACTAGGAGTAGAAAAACAGTTAAACCCACAGGCATTGCTGTAAGTGATGAACAATTTTAATTTTCCATGTTTAAAATAAAATTTTAACAATTCAAATATGTTGTAAGTACTGATTAGAATATTAAAGCATCTTATATTTAATCTGTAATAATATAGGAAACCATATCCTATAAACTATTTTTTGTTTAGTAAGCAGCTTCGTTGTCTCATTCTATCACAGAACTTTATGAATAAGGCTTTGTTAACCAGCTGCCAATGCAAGTGCCTTTTGGTTTGCATTATTTCAGTGATCTCCTTGGAAAGAATCAATCTCTCTAGCTAGAGGCTTCTGTCTATGGTTTTCTTAAATCACTTTTTTTTTATCAATCCAAATGTAGCAGAAACTACATAATTTTTAATGAGAGGTCCCAGAGGAAATGGGATCTCTTTTTATTTTCAAAATTGCAATTGACTTAAAACATCTGCACCTTATTTTGCTCTTAATTAGCTTTTTCTAGTGTTACTCTTCTGACTTCCGTGCAGTGACTCCACAAAATGATCAGTGAAACAAAAGAGGGTGGAGAGGGAACAGAGAACCTGATTTCTCTCATGCTGAAATTCTTTCAGGACCCTATGGAACCATTGCCTGTATTTACCATTATTTGGCTGTGCCTATTTTTTGCTCCATTTTCCAAGGCCCTCTTTGAAAAAAATAATTCACTTTTTAACTGGTTTGTCACTCCACTGGATTCCTGGTTCAGGTTTCAAAAATCCAATTGTAATAAGTCTCAACTGTTTTCAAACCTCATGAAAAAATATCCGATTATTTTTGTATGACTCGTGCCTATCTGTTACTTATGCTTTGATATTGCAGTGCAACTCAGGAAACACAACAATGTAAGCAGGGAGTTGGTTTCTATACCTGCTATTTTTATTCTCTACCTTGGGATGTCCTTTTTTTAAAAAGCGGTATTTTTATATATTCTGAAAAAGATACACTACCTAGCAGCTGAAGAGACAATTACATCAGAAGCCAAATGAAGATATACATCTCCATGTTTGAAAAGAACATTTTCTAATTGTCAGAATGTGACACTAAATTAAAACCTTGCCTCCTGTTTAATCTCCTGGCTTAGGTTTGCTGCCTGTGAAACTGGTTTGATTTTCTGAAAATGAATTTGTTCATGTTGTATCTACACAGAAGTAACTTTACATTATTATTAAAAAAAATATCCATGTTTTGGTGAGAAAGGAATCACTGAAGTTGTGAAATCAGGCAATGAAGCAGAAGAGGCATGAAACATCCATATCCCATTTTGAATTTTCCTGTTACGCACTCTTAAATTAGAAGGTTCACACTAGGATCCCTAGCTTGGATCCTGGGTTTGGTTGAAACAGTAACCAGAAACAGAAAGGATGCAGTCTTAGGCAATTATTTTTATTTGACTTAATTCTCTGTAGAAGCAAAGACAATAATACTGTGTACGCAACATTGGCTGATCCTAACATCAAGTTTTGCTTGCTGGTGTCCGTTTTCAGCCTTTCAGCTTCCAAGAAGCATGAACACATGCCACGGGGATGACAGGAAATGTCTCCCTCCCCCTAGGAATAACTGCCAAATTTTAAGGCCTGCTAAAAACTATGGACACTTCAGAGCTCTTGAAAACAATAATGCTTCAGACAACAATTTGGTGTTATCCAAAGCAGAGAACAAAACAAATCCAGATTAACAGATAAGAAGTGGCAAAAAGGGAATCTATCTTGTTCCCCAGAAACTGCTGCCAGGCACCTAGGTGACCTTAGAAAGCTTGCCAAAAGACTGGCAAGCTTTTCTGAAGTTCAACACATCATATAGTTTTCACTTAGCAAATGCATCTACAAAAATGTATACTTTCATGAGCAAGGGAGTGCTGCCAGAGAAGGAAATCCCTTTATTTTTGTGCACTTGAGGACTACTAACTTTATCTGTGAGAACCACCGAGTTCTTTCAAAGGACTATTTTTTAGATGCCCCAAACAATCTTTTTCTGTGCAACCCATCCATTGCACTCACCTTCACTGCTGTACCAACTAGAGATAGCATCAGCAACACTGGGAATTCTAACAGAATCACTGGGCATTCTAACAGAATCACTGATGAAATTCAAGGGGACTCATGGTAGGAATCCATACAAATCATGACACAACTGCAGAGGACTTGCAGAAAGGCAGAGGGTTGCTGTCACACCCATGCCTCACACTTATGCAAGAAGAGGGATTCACCCACCTGGTAAATTGCCGACTTTCCTCGTGTACTTCCATTTCTGTGCTTTTAAATTCATTCAGTTCTTTCCGTATTGCTGCCTAATAAATATGAAATTTGAATATTAATTTGAAATATGAATATAAATATAAAATATGAATTTTAAGGAAAGTAATGAATATGAAAGGAACCTTTTGCACTTTCCTTACAGTTCCCATTTCAAGTCTCCCTTACTATAATCCACAGCTCTCACACATTTCTGATCATCAACATGAATTACTTTTTTCAATTACAGCTGTTTGAAGCAGTCTTACATTACAAAGAAACCCAAAGCATCAAGCACCAACAATAAACAAAGAAACACCAAAACTACTTCAACGGGTGAACCAAGCCCCCACTGAAATACGAAATACAGCACTTCCTACAGACAAAAATGAGCAAGGGATTGGGTTACTTTGCAATCACTTGATGGATATGCAGCCAGGAGGGGGATGTATCTCCAGGCACAGCCCCTGAGGAGCTGGTGAGTCACTCCACCTGCACAGGCACTGTGCACACAGCAGGGGCCTTGTCTCTATCTCCCCACTGGAGACAGGTCTTCAGGAATGCAAGATGAACAGCAATTTTTTTAAAGTGGAATTAGTCATTTAGTTTGATTAGTTTTATGTAAAGTGTCACGAAATATTTGGACTTGTGTTTTCAGTTGGCAGATACTGAGGAACAGCAAAAATTCAGTACATTTGTAAATGCTTTGTTGCTTATGTTAAGAGACTGATAAGCAATTTACTTCATCAAGTAATAAATATAATTTCTGAAATATTCCAATATGCTACAAGGGGTTTTATTTCTATGCTACATGCCTTCCTACCTTTACTGTGAAAGGAAATGGCAGTTTATTCTTACTCTTTTCTTTCACTATTTTAAATAAAGACAGTATCATTTCATTAAGCCCTGAAGAAATGTCATCTGGTGTGTATCTTTTCAATGCAGAACAGGCAAGCAGCATGACAGAATTACAGCATCACCAGACTGCAGTCTCATAAATGAGAAACTTCATTTTAAGCAGGGGATGGTTCTGTTTAGCCACAACAGCATGCTTACATGAAACTGCTGTTATAGCTAGGAAAGGGGCAGCAATTTCTGAGCACCAAATCAGCAGGAAAGACACTAGAGCTCCAGCTCCTTAATATAGTTACAGTACAATTTTCTGCTCCCACTGGAATTAGAAGAATGACTTCCCTGGGAAAAAAAAACGAGTGAGGGAGTTTCCAGGCAACCCTGGGTATGCCTTTCTGCTAAGGCCAACAAACATGGGGCTCACAGAACCAGCCCTGGGCACCTGTTCATTACAAAGTTAATTGAAATTAAAAACTGCTATACTGAAGTAGGTAGAAAACTCCATTGTTTTTAATAGTTCAGTGTACCCTGGCTGGACTCAGGTCAAAGTGGAGGAGCTGGGTGCTCTAATCTCCCACACACTATGTGAGGATTAGACAGTGCTCAACACCTCCCAGAAACAACACATACAAACACTTCTGGCTACATTTTTAATGTCTCCACCTTGACTTGATATGAGATTCTCATTTGATTGTAAGATGAGCTGGCAGTTTTTTAATATTAATATTAAAAAGTGCAAGCTGAAATAAAATTAGTGCTTCACCATGTTGAGCTAAAAGACAGTGAGTGCTTGCACATGTCGCTTTTCATGTCAAGCACATGTCATCGGACTTCCATAAAAGTAGGTTCAGATCCACTGCTAAAAGGGCCAGTACTTTTTGCTACCTAAATCCTACAGCTTTCCTTTTTAAGTTCCTTTCCTATTAAGTGATATAGGATGGAAATGGAAGAGTATTTTATGGTAATCTTTGATCTCTTTTTCAAATGAGAGTCACAGAATCTTTTGTCTCATCATTTGTAGTTAGGTAGAGGAACTATAAGCTGTACATTTTAGGGGCAAATTTCCCATGAAGCTGCACTGCATGCACACAGTCAGCTCCTGCACTGGTTGTTGTGGCCAAGATCCCTGAGGAGGATAAGGCAGCTTCTACCTTTTTGCACTCAAATGAGTTGCAAAAGTAACTCTCAGTGGCAGAATTTGCCTGAATTCCACAGGTCAGGGCCACCTTTGCTAAGCATTTATCTGGCTTAGCAAGGATTTAAAAATTAGAAAAACTAGGAAAAAAGATTAGAAATTCTGGGCTGAACTGTCGTAACAGAGGTGGCAAATATGCTCTTAGTGGGCACTTGAGTGGGTTTTCTTATCTGCAAGCAATAGTACCATGACAATCTCGCTGTCTCCAGCAGATGTCATTGGTGATGCTGGCATCAAGAGAATGTAAACCAGAGGAAAACTCCACAAAAAATAAGAGATGAAAGCATTTTCTTATAATCTACATTTGTCCCTTGCCTTGTCTGCAGGAGTTAGCCTGGCCCAAGGTTTGTCAGCACGACGGTCATAATCCGGAGAATCCGTGACTTCCACATACTCGTTAAATCGAAGGATTCTTCTTGCTTGAAGTTCAGCCACTGTAGGCCTCAGACTGAGCTGTAAGCAGGAGGCAGAAAATAATACACTTAATAAGATGAAATAAAGTAAAACAAAATCCGAGGGTATGATGTAATCTCAAGAGAACTTTAATGGTATTTCTAAATAGGGTCACTTTCAGGTGTCTATAAAAAGGCACCATCCCGGGAGTGCTGCACAGGAATGGGGAGGCAGCACAACCTAATTTTTTCAATTATAAAAATAGTCTCCGTCAGGCAGGTCACAGGGAATCATGACAGTTATCCCTGAAATATTAATTGTGACTTTGCAACTGTCACAGCATTTACTCCACTAGGCCATTTGCATCAATGATTATACAGTTTGCTGTGTTAAACTGTAATACTGAAATAAGCAGGATTTGGAACTACCTGCCTAACTAAAAAAATTGGTTTTGACCATGTGGGGGTCATTATGATGCCAAATTGTTTCACTCACCTCAAACAATATTCACTTTAATTAACTAAGGATGATCATATTAAGGAAACTGTATTTTTGCAGAGAAGAGCAGACTAGAGATACTTATGAAAACTCCCCACATCCTGTCCCAGAACAGCAGACCCATAACTGCTCCATTTCCAGGGACAATGAGCATGATCCCACCTGCAGAAGCTAGGACCACCAATGTGGTTAGAAGATCGGTGAAGGGATTTTGTAGGGCTTACATTGCTTTGCTGCCCCCTTCACTGCTCTAAGATCTACAGGTGTGGCTGCCCTCCAACATATGTGACAGCTCACAGAGGAAACGTGTCACTTATCTCCCCTGCTTACACAGACAAATATTAAGCATGGCCAGACTCTGTATGCTTTTCCAGGTGTGGGAAACTGGACAGGATGGAGTTTCCCCCAAGACAGATTTGGCTTGTACTGCTTTTTAAGCAGATTTCTAATCTGGGGTCATGACTGATGGACATCTGAAGTAATGTCTACACAATGATTTTTAGACTCTTATAAAACATAATTCTATTTTCACGAATACACAATACAAAAAACACATCATCACCTTTCTACTGAGTCTACGTTTTATTTCTCTTTTGGCTTCCTGTTCCTCTTCTTCATTCTTCTCTGTTTTCAGAAGAGATAAAAAGGAGTGAATATTTAAGTATTATAACTGCACATAATGTATATCTGTTGGTTGAAAGCTTCAGAACTTTAAGTCCTGGCTCACATTTCCTCATATTTCTGGATGGTGCTGCACGTGTTGTCTGCTTTTTGGCTTTTGTTTGCTCTCATTCTTTTCCCTATCCGCATTTCCCCCGATTCTGTAGACATCTCAAGTCAACTGTGGGTCATGAGCACAGCAAAGAGGAGGTGCCTGTCATTTCCTTTCTGTGCATCAGCAAGCAAGTACCCTGAAAGACCTGCCTAATGTTTCAGTTAATTATTTTAACAAAAAACTCACTGTTGCTTTTACTTCCAACATGCCATCTCTTGACTTTAGAGTGAGAGTCTAGTTATTCATAAGTGTCAAGAAAAAAGTTTGCTCTGAGTATTTAAATCAGACAAGCATCTTCTACTGCTACAGGACACAATGAATCAATGAAATTTGTTTCACTGTCATTTGTTAGTGCAAATTGGTTTTATTACTTAAATTTTTTTTTCTGGTTTTATAATGGGGGCATAAGATTCAGCCCTCTTGGTTAAGGGCCACTGGCTATACCAGATAAATGAGTTCAGCACAAATATACACGTGCATTTTTGGAATGTATTTGGGCATGTGACTAAAATGTGGTTTTAACAAATTTCTGTGCTAACCAAACTTGATTTCTTGATTGACAGTGAAAAGCACACTTACAAAGACATGTTCATATGGGCTTAGCATGTTTCTAGATTGATGTACAGTTTGCAGAATATTATTTGCCCTTTTAGTCCACCTCTGATGGTTATATTCTGAAATATCCTACCTAGAGATACCCATAAAATTTTGATCCTGTTTTATTCACAGTTTAGGATTACGGACACCACATTATAGTTCAAGGGTAACTATAAATTTAAAGGAAGTAATTTGCTCTGGATACAGTCAACCTGTATAGATGAAAAGGCAGTTTTAAATCCTAGTATAATCGTATTTGCCCTGTTTCCTATGTCCAGCTTGCTATGTTAGTATAGGTAACGTGGCTACAGAAGAGTTTGTGTATCATGACTTACACACTGGAGGCAATGCTACAACAGGATACCTTGTGGTACTTGCAGATTTCCTTTGCTAACTCAAAGGCTTTCATAGAAGAAAAATACAAGGGAAAGGAGAACAGGACAAATTATTAAAATGAAAAAGAAGAAAGATACAGTAGGAAAAAGGCAACGCCAGCCCAAGATCTGCTCTGTGAGAAGCATCCAACACAAACCCCAGGTTTCCAAGAGCAAGATGCAATCTCACAGTCTTGCTGCCAGGATTAGGCTGGATCTCACATTGGTGGTGATTTTACTGAGATACTGAAACGTGGATGTAATTTATGGTTTATTAATAGTTTTTCTCTTAAATGGAAAAGAAATTGATGGTCTGTTTCCGTAGAGGAACTGGAAATGGACTAAAACTGAAGTATGAAGAGTTATAGATTAATCTACATTTAAATTTTTTAATTAATATATCTACCAATAAACAAATTGGGTGTATTTAAGGACTTTGGACTCTAAATGAGAACTCTTTTCATAAAATCCTCACCTAAAAAAAAATCGAAAGCTCTCTAGCTGTTTTAGGACAGATAAATCATCTGCAGGCTTTTGTTTAAAGATCCTGTCTTTGCAATCAGTAGACATTGTAGCTGAGGTAATTAAACACAAACTATTAATTTGGGGTTCCATTCACCTGGGAATCATCTGACATAAAAAATTTTGTCCCTTCATGAATGGTCTACCTTGGAAACTCTCCAGTAGCAGACATAGCAAAAAAAAAAGCAGCTGAATATACACATCACTGTACTGTCCTTAACTTAATTCATAAAATAAATTGTGCATTATTCATATCTTGACATTTCTTTGCTATCTAAACCAGTGTCTCCTAAGAAGCAGCAACAAGATGCTTCAAGTAAGAAATAGGGGCTCAGACTGCTTAATGCATACCTTAAGGAACTACCAACAGCATGGTCACCTGAAATACTGTTTTTCTATATTTTGAGGGAGGATACAATACCATAAAAGAGTTAGTCTGGACATTTAGGAAGGTTGAAGGTTAGCTGCCTATCCCAAGCTGTAAAGCTACCTCCCTGTGGGTACCAGATGACTGCACAAAGGGACAACTGAACAAGGGAAAACACCCAAAAATAGGCAACACGCAAGGCCGTCATTATAGCTGCTGGGCAGAGGTCCAGGCAGGTCCTGGAACAGGCTGTCGAAGAGAGCTGGCAGCTCATCTTCTGGAGGACAATACCAGCAGGAGGCATTAGGCCCTTCCTTCACTCCTGATGCAAAGCAGGAAGGATCAAACCCATGGGGAACAGATAGTCTTCTGTGTGAGAGGTCCGGGGACAGGATGTATTTTATACATTCAAGTTGGTTTACTTCTAGGAATAAAACTCAAGAGCTAAAGGAAATGGACTGAAATCTGGTGGTTGCTGCTAATCTACTGAATCTGTTGTTTGGCAAACAGGCCTCTGTCTCTGGCACTGACTCATGCCTAAAGCACCAATTTCCCACCTCTGGCCCGCTGGGCAGAGCGTTGCTTTAAGCCTGGTGCTACAGAAACACTGCCTGGATACAAATTCCTTCAAACAGTAAAATCTACAGTGTATTTTTGGTCTTTTAAGGTAAAAGTTTTGGAAGTTGCTGTAATGAGTTTAGAAGATATGTGATGCTAAAAATAATGGGTTTAGTGCTCCTGGTTCCTTCAGGTATTGTGGAAAATTCCAGCCAGAGGGCCAAGATCTGGCTGCAGGTGACTCACTTGCCCAAACAGGAACACATTAATGCACAGAAACACACTTCTGCTTTCCACCTTAAAAGCAGATCTAATCTGTGTAGCGTGGAGAAAGAAAATATAAACACAGCATTCCCAGCTGCAAGTCCCCTCCTCAGATGTCCCGCTGCTGCCTTATTGGCAAAGGACCAGCCTAGCAAGCGCCCTTTGCTTCCAGAAGTCTCTGGTTAGATCCCAGCAAAACTATGGCTTCCCTCCTTCCCTGCCTGCACCTCCTAAGAGGTAAAACTGGGTTCTGAATGCTAACTGAAACAATTTTGTTTATCATCACTTATTGTGGCCATCAAGTTAAACAATCCTCTCTCCAAAGTCAAATCAGCAGCCTCCCTGGCATCTATACCTTATTGCTCCTGCAACTTTTGCCATGTTAAATTTGGTCACCTTCTGTTCTTTGAGACATTTGTTTTGCAGCAGAAGGGGAAAAGAGAAAAGAGAATTTTTCCTGCCCGAGGACTGTTCTGTTCTTGACCAGAAAGTACTCCTGGAGTACTGAACTTTCCATTGTGTCCCTATGGGATTAGCTATGTTTAGACTTCTCTGTGGGCTTGCTAGGGAAAGAGAAAGAAAAGACAAACAAAGCACTTGCTCCTCGCAGTGCTCTGAAACACACAAAGTGGTTTCTTTCTCTTTCCTGATTTTACATTAATATTCCTTAACTAGCACTGAGAGCTAAAGCCAGTTTTCTATAAAGCCAAACCCTGTCTTCTACAAAGCCATTACTGGCAGGCATGCAGGTACACTGTACAGGAAGTTCACTGTCCTTTACCAATACAGGAAAAAAATACAGTTATCTTAATCTGAAATTCTTGGAAGACTAGAAAGTTTCTTTGCCATACTGCAGTACTATAAATACTGTTGGTTCAAAGCCAGTACACAAGAAACCTGTCTTTATAAAAAACAGAGGGCTTTATGTATTCCTTCAAGTGGACTCTTGAGTTATCATAATTTTGTTTTAGTATGGGAAGTCTCAGAAGTCTGGATAGTTTTATTCAAACAGTTTTTATAGAAATCCACCTGCAATGCCTTGCGATCCTACTTGGAAACAGGATTTTCAGTAACTGGTTTATCTGGTGATATTATCAAAACAAAACTTCTTGCAAAACAGACTTCCTCACTAACTGGATATACAAAAAAAAGAGAAAAAAATAAGGATTTTTTTTTTAACCTTTTAGAGGATTTGAGCTGAACTTAATTCTGAAGTAAACATTTGGACCTTTACTGCTTAATGTAACCTCAAAGTCTATGATAAATATTACTCAAAACAATATTTCCCCTTAGCTGCAATTTATATACATGCAATAATATAACCCCTCCTCCCCATCCACTGCTTAAAAACAGGAAGAAGGAAACTTTATGAAAGAAATCCCAACTTACTCACAAAAGCTAACTACACCAACAAAGGCATTTAAGACATGTAAACATTTTCAAATGATCCATGGGAATGGAATGAAATAATTTTGATTTAAAATATGAGTGCCTTAGGGCTGAGAGAGAACTTGCACCCTGAAAGGGCTCTTAGTCAGACTGTCACCACAAATCCTGGCTTGCTTTGGTTCACTTTGCTTTTTACAGATCATTTTCAACTTGAAATATTTTGTATCTCAGAGATGAGCAAAAAGCAGTTTTGGATTCTCCATGTGCTTGCCAGGGACTCTGTGACTTTTTGTGATTTACCATTCTGCTCCCCAGCCTGTATTTTTTGCTCTCCCTTGCCTATTTAAGACGGCCCCTCGGCAGCAGCAGGGGAGGACAGCGGGAGGCACTGAGTGTAACGCTTGGTACACTGCCAAAAGCTTAAAGTAAACAAGTAGAAACAGGAGAAGAAATCTATTAACTGCTTTCAAGTCTTGAGCTACTTATTGCAAAATCAATGAATACAAAAAACATTGGCAAAAGTGATATTAAATACATTGCAGGTTCACTACTAGGTTAGCTATCTCAAGATAAACGAGACCGAAAGGGCAATAAGGGAGCCCAGCTGGTACTCCCAGCTCAGTGGCCATATCTTGGCCCACCAAAGATGTTTTGGAATTACCTTTCTCACATAGTCCAGCGTGAGCAATCTGTGATATAAAAAAATATTCATATTTCAAATTTTATCTTTATTTATCTATGCAATCTATAGGTTCAGAAATTGCAGTTTTAGGAAGTCTATTCACATTAGGTGCTGGATAGGAGTCCCATGACCCCTTTTTTGTGCACATATGAACTGTAGCTTTCCTCTTCAATCAGACATGGAGCTATTTGGCATCTGAGAGCTTGTACAACAGCAGTAAGATTTTATTAGCACGGATGGTTGCCTGAAAGCCAATAATTGCTGACTCCTCTGATTTGCTGGCTTGATAAAGTGACAGAGTCATCAGTCCATGGATGTTGTCAGGCAAACAGCCCATTTTCTTTCCCTCCATTACCATGCTGCACATCAGGGTTGCACAACTCTTCTGAATGATTGTTGGAAATAACAGCATTATTCTTTCTCTTTCATGAGGTGTGAAAAGTTCTCATGTCCTAAGAATAGATGAATTTTTTTATTTTTTTGGTATGTGTGAAAGACTTGCACGTGCGTTTTCTTCATTTATTTCTTCTACTTAACCATCAAATACTAGCTACTCCCGTAGAATGAATACAGGGCTAGATGAAGCTGGGCATGGCAACTGCTACACTATGTGTTTGGGTAACACCCATATTATGGAAAGATTCATAAAGGAAGACAAAAACTTCCTGTTCTGAAGAGTTTGCCAGCCTAAGAACAAAACCAACATAAGTAAATGGGAGAACAGGAATAGAGGATAAATACCTAATGTACTTCATTCCTCTGCCCTTGACTATTTGAATTAAAGACTTTTTTTCCAGCAGGGATATTGAGGAAGGATTTAATAAATGGGAAGATATTTGGTGAGAATGTCTCATGAAGGTTTCAGTACAGAAGACATTTATGTCAAAAGTGAATATGAAGGCGAGCATGCTGAAGTACTCGGCACATACCTATTGTCCTTCCTCTGAACACTCTGCCTTACCTCTTTCTACTCCTCCTTCCAACCTCTGCCCTTACATCCTACCTTTGCCTCCTACATCTGATATTCTCTCCTCCTCCTCATAAAAATTAGGTGGAAAGTCAACTAGCCTAGAACTACTTCTAAGGGGTATCTAAATCATTCCTGGTCTTTTGGGACCACCTTCAAGAAGTGGGATTGTGACAAGCAAAATTTGGCATATTGAATATATGCTCTTTTCACGGCCACAGTTACAGGTTAGTATATAAATCTAGTGTTGACACATTATTTTCTAGAACATAATTTCTCTCTGGTTATGAATCTAATACTGCAGCAATAATTATGGGCTTCCATATGAATCCAACACATGCTCATTTCCTAAGTAAATACTAGCTGAAGCCTGAATAAAATACTTACGCTTCAGGATATTTCTTTGCTCTAGCTCTTCAGTTGTAGGCCTCTGGCTAAGTCTCCTGTGAGAACAAAGTAAATGACTGATTTAAAACCAGATTCAAATAATAAATTCCAATTTGTAATACAGAACACATTTTGTAATGTCAAAAGGTATTTCTCATATGGCTGTGCTGTTCTTTGCCAGCACAGGTAATTTCCAGACAGTTATAACTGCACATGTAACCATAGTAGTGAGTGGCTGTTTGTTTTAAAAGATGTACTGCTGCCACTTGAACACATAAATAACTGATAATTGAATAATACTACAGAAATTGCACCACAAATTAAAATTCCTCACAGGTGTAATTTTATGAAAGAATTCATAAATCTTCTTTTGTTCCCAAGCACCATCTTTATGATAAGTAGTGCAATTGTAAGACTATTATCAGATATTCCAAATGCAAATCTTCTAACTTTTTAAAAAGAAGAAACAACAACAAAACCCATAAGCTGTTCATTTGTCACTGAATTGTACATACAGTACAATTGGGAGATTTAACTGAAACTTAATTTTATTTAGTTACCTATATATAACAACTGCCCTTACAAAAAAAACCAAATTGAGATTTTAATTTTCTGGTTTGTATAGTAAAGAACATGGTTGATGTTGTCTCTATGTTTACTAAACAAGTTCACTTGCTCACTTGAGAAAACGAGCATGAAAAATTCTAGCAGTAAAACTTATTTTGCAGATTTGTCAAAGATAGGTGCTCCTATGTCCAGCAACACTCACACAGGTCACTACGAACTGTCTTCAGCCTCGTGAAACTCACCCAATTCAAATCATGCCTGGACTTCCAGATGTGTCCCAAAGGAATGGCAGACCCTGACCCTAGTTGAGCTGTGGAAAGAGATTTCCCACCAGACCTTGATGCTGCCAAGTGTTGATCACCACGCTGGGAATTTTTAAGGAACTTGATGTCAAACTTCGTTGTGATTTTGGGTATGAGCACAGCCCTGACACACACAGACATTGTCTCCTGTCACCAAAGCAGAGCTGTATGGGGAGCATGTCAGCTCTCCAGCAGAACCCACTATGTCCCTGTGCAAGGAGATCAGGGGAGGAACCAAAGCAGCTTCTGCAGTTCTAGCCCCTGAGGGAGCACTGACAAGCAGGATGTGATCACCAGAGCTGGGATTTGGTTAGGAAAGTGGTGATAACAACCACACCACTTTATTAGAAAAAGAAAAGTGACCCTCAGGCTCTACGCAATAGATGTATCACTCTTAATGTTAAGTAATTAAATAGGTGCCTTATCCAGCCTCCCAGTTCACACACAAACTCAGCTTCTAAATGTTAATGCAGAGCTGCTTTACTCTGTACTGGAGCAGTACCAACTGGACTATCCTATATCTGTAAATGTCCAACCAACACAAGACATCCTCCAGATCTGTCTGGACAACATTCCTGAGCCCAAGAGAAACAAGGACAGATCTGGCAAAATACAGACATGCTGTAGTCTATTCTCAGAGACATGAAGATTTTTTTAAAAAAAGCTTGTAAAAAGGCAAGTGAAATATTTTCATGCAATGTTCTCAGGTCTAGAAAGAGAAAGTAACATATATCCCATAGCAGTTTAACAGCATGAGAAAGGCATGCCTCAGAGGTGGGCACAGTAAAACAACAGACACTGACCTGCAAAGTCAGCCTCCTTCCACTTCTTTTGCTGGAACCAACACACGAATAATGAAGGAATTAGAGAGCAGGAGGAGGATAGGGAGAGTCAGAAGGGACAAACATGCACAGGCATGCTCTGTATGTCAGGAACTATGACTCTGTCTGAGATGGGTGTACATACAAGTGAAAGTTCCTGCCAACCAACTTGAGAAAAAACCTGAACGATAGCACTGATTATTGTGGACTCATTGTTACCCTCTTCTTCTTTCCTTTTTTTTAACCCAACAACCCAAAAACCCAGAACCTCTCACATTTGTTCCTTGCAGAACAAAAAATGAATTATTGACATTTTAAAGCTTTGTGAGAAATAAAGCTACTGTTTTCCAGACAGTTATACCACAAAGATCCTGCAGTGCATATTGGGTTGCATTTAAAACATGAACCCAGTGTTCTTAATTCTCTTCCTCCACCTCCACCCAGTCAAATCACATTTACCCTGAGACTGATACCTCACTAGCTTCGTTCCAATCTGATGTCTGATTTCCTGCCTTTCCTCTTCAGATGTACGCTGCAAGATGTTTTTGTCCTCTAATTCTTTCTTAGATGGTCTGTTGCCAAGTTTGATAGCAAGAGTATCCCTACGACGGATTTTACTTGCCAAAGAGCCTGAGGAAAGGAAGAGTAGGGTAGATTTAGTTCATTTATGCTTAGGTTACAGACGCAAACTCTGAGTAAAAACTTTAATACCTCCCCAAAGCAACCTTGTTCCCACATGCAGAAGAGGAATTTTAATTAACATCAAAAGAAAAATTTTAGCTCAGTTCTCAAAAATAAAAAGCTAAAAGGCTTGGAGGAAAAAGCTACCAGCCAAATTGATACAAACATCACTTGTCATCTGTGAAGTGATAGGATAAAAATGACAAATCTACACTTAAGTGTCTTTGAAGTCTAATACATTACAGATTGGCTTATTTATCTACTTAGTATATTTAGCAACCTGCTGCTCTTTCTTCAGCCTTAAATGGTTTAGTCTCATTCTATCATCATTTCCCTCATTCTTTCAGTTTTTTTTCCCAATAAATTACCACTGTCATCTTAAACTTATTTATAAATTAAAACAAAAAATACAGCTTAGAGAAGTGCTCTGAGTGCTTGTAAAGTAACCTAGGCAGGAACCCCAACACATTGAAGCAATCTGTTTATCCATAAAACAGACACAGTAGGGACAAGGGCCTTGCAGCTTGGTCAGCATTAGCTCCAGCCAGCTGTGGAAGAAAGGGTATTTTTCACACCCTTTATAGTCTTTCCCTTGTGTCTTGACATTCCGACCAAGGTGGGCTACATATGTCCTAGGCTGGCAGATTTTCACCATGTAAGGCAGTTTGGTAAGACCACAGGCTCTCAGCTCACTTCTCATAAGACATCATGCTGCTACCTGAATACATGAATTTTTTGTTTCTATCACACTGGATTTTATTCAAACCCAACACAGAACTGCAGAAGACTTCAGCCTCTTGAGCTACCTGGCACTTCACCTTCTGCCGCACCAATGGCCAAGATAAAAAACACACGTTCATTTTTGCTCACCCCACTTTGGTACACAGCACTTTGGTGTTCAGGACTTCTTCCCTGAGCACAGAGAAGCACCTCCTCCGGAACACCTGTGGGCAAGGCTCTCAAGCAATGGTTCAGTAGTGATTTTATACTGACATATGGCCACCCTGCAGGAAGTAGAGGTAGGGCTGCCTGCCTCTCCATCCCAACAGCCTGCTGCTGCCACCTCTTTGCCCAAGCAAAGGAGCAGCCATTGGGTGAGCTGGATCAGGGAACCACCAGTTATATTGAAAATCAGCTCAACAACAGCCACTGCTGCAAAAATGAATTTGAGTGCTGGCCTAAGGGAAGAGCGAACAGCTGGGAGCAGGGATTAGGGAGAATGGGGGTAGGACAACCCCTTCAGCAGCTGCAGGGCTTCTGCACAATTAGGGTGATGATAGAGTCATGACCTCAGATGAAATTTTACAACTTAGATGTAAACTACTGTGATCTGCTCTGTCTGTTAAGGTCGCTCCAATGCTTAAAACATCCTGATCAAAGAGGAACAAATGACTTTCAGACAGTGAAGCTGACAACTGATGGGCTTCCTCTGTCATCCACCACACATGTAACTCACACAAGGAATTTGTGACAGAGGTGAGCCAAATCAATGGCTTGTGATGCCCTAACATGGAGGCCTTGTTCCACCCTCAGGTTCTTCTGAACCTGCTCCTCCCACCTCTACTCCCATCTGTACACTGCTCTCATCCATGCACAGGCCCCAGCAGGTTTCTGATCACAATTGTCTGGGAGAAGCAGGACACTCATTTCTCAGTAGTGACAAAATACTAAATCCCCTAAAACCAGCCCCTGCAGTCATCTCTCTCTTTGCTTCACACTAGCATGGGTCAGGCATGCTCACATAACGCAACTGCAAAAGGTAGCCTGCAGCTAAGAAGCTAAGCAGGATGCTTACTTTCAGCGCTTGCATTCTCATCATCATCGTCATCATCATCGTCTGTGTACAGTATCGGCCCATCTGAGTCTGAGTCACTGCCATGGCTCTCTCTGCTACTTTCACTCTCATGAGGGGCACCAGTGTCAGCAGCCTCCTCCACTGGTTCAGAGTGTGCCTGGTCTGAAACCTCCACTTCTTGGTCTCCTTTCATAGCCAAGCTGTTAATTTGTAAGCAGACGGTGATACATTAACACAAGCAGAACAGAACACAAATGGGAGACAGATTGTATAAGCAAGTATGAAAAGTTCTGTTATTCAAACTAATACCTTTCTAAAAAATGTACATATGTAAAACATTTATAACGTATGCAGATGTGTGTATGTATCTATGTATGTATGTTAGGAAAAAGGATTCAAACAATCTGGAATCATGTGCTGCAAAGACTATATAAAGACAAATCCTAATTGTTTTTTATTTCTCGTGGGATGGGACCAACAGTACATAATAAAGAGAGAAAACCAATTCATAAAGTTGGGGGTAAGAGGAGTGAGTTGGAGAGCAGATGGGAGTGCAAAGCTTCCTTTTCTGGAAGCCTAACCCTATTTATTGTAAATACAGTTTCACTGCAGTTGAGTCCAAAATGTTCATGACCATCACTGACAACCACGGAAATTGGCAGCAGACTGCCCTTTGCCTTGGGAAAATCTTTGTGTAAAAGAAGGGTAGAGCAAGGGGAGATGTAGCACAGGAATGTAATGCTGACACAGATGTACCAGCAAGAATTTAAAGGAAGGTCTCTAGGCTACTGGCATCTAGACTAAACTCTATCGGGTTTATATAAAAGATGCTGGTTCTTGAGGCAGGGAAAAGATAAATCATTAAGCCAGTTCCATTTTGCTGCCAACTATTTTGCTTAAAAAGTGTAATTATGACCTTTCTCTTGACTAGTTTTTACAGTACCTGAGATTTATACAAGCTACTAGGCAGTGACAGACCAAAGACCCACTAATTGGAGCCTGAAACTCTCGTTTTCAAGTGTGCAAGTAAATTCAGCCATTGAATTTAGAGCTTTAGCACTGAGATATTTAATGACATCCACAAAAAAAAAAAAAAGTAAACCCCCTTATAATTCAGCATAATTTCTTGTTTGCCTTTATGAGAGAGAAACAGAAGTGTCACCAGCTACTAGCTGAACTGCTGACAGCAGTGTCAGCCAAACAATGATGTAAGAGGCAGGTTGTGAGCAATGACCTTCTGGGGAAACATGACATACTGCAGGTGAATGGCTCAAAGGCACTGGAAAGGAACAAATTGTGCTGGGATGCAACACAAACTATTACCAGTCAGCAGAAGAAACAGAAGAGATTCCTGTGTGCCTACAGCATCCCTTGCAAAGAAACGTGGCTTCCTTGGCTGTGGGTCTTACCACTCACCTAGGACAGCAATACTGTCTTACCTTTCTGTGTCTTCTCCACTAGCATCTGGACCTCTGCCTAGGGCCGTACTGCTCAGACTCTCATCTGTGCCATGCTCAGTCTGGAGAAGAGTTTTAGTATCTGATCCAGGGCTGCATGGCCCTGCCACACAGCTGTCTGACACATCCTGGGCATCTGAGGAGACAGCAGGCTGACCAGCTGCAGCAGGGAAAGGAGGTGGAAGTGGAGGTGGAGGAGGGGCAGCGGTGGGAGGAGGGGGGACAACAAGCTTGCTTGATTGGTCTGTGTCCTCCATTTCAAAAGTTACTATGGAAGGTTGCTCAGCCTTGTTTTTTTCTGTCTTCACTTCCAAACTGTTGTCTGTGGCACCTGAGGGGGAAGAAGCAGCCCCATCTGGTGCTGTTCGTGGGGTTGACTGTTTCCCAGGTTTTTTCTTGCCCCTGGGAGTCCCTGATGTGCCCAATTTGCTGGAAGTCTCCTTAGAGGCTTTGGGGTGAGATGATGTGGACAAAGGAGATGGTGATGAAGAAGACTTGGAGTCTGGTGGTTTTCTTGCATGAGAGGAACCAGCTAAATAAGAAAAGAAAAAGGATTTTACAGTCTTGCAATTGTATGATTTTTGCATTGTATTTCCTGCATGGATTGACTTGCGCTGGTATTTAAAAAATGAAAAAATTACACTTGATACTTCTACAGTCCTTCATCTAAGTGCTTGAGATAAGTAAATGTTGCAGTTCCAATTTCACCTTTGCAGTGGGAAAAACTGAAATGATGAGCAGCTGAAAAAATCAGCCTTACAAACTGGTGAGAGTTTGTTTCTAGCAGTCTGCGTTGGCTCACTACAACTTCCCTGGACATCATCTAAAAAGTCCACTACCTATTCCAAAATTGTGTAGTGTCCTATTTAAAAAAAAACGCTCCCTGACAGAGAAAACTGCCTGACCTTTTCTAGCACATGAATTTTGGGTCTGAACAGTGGGAAAACCCTATGCTTTTCAATGGACATCTGAGGACTGTTATGGGTATTGATTAATTACCTTTCACAATGTTATTGCAACTGGTGTGCTCCTATTTAATGGCAAACAGCAGAGGGACAGCAAAACGATGTACTTTCAGGTCCAGCTGGATATATCCATAAAACAGAGGCAGAAACCACCAATCTCACTCTGCACAGATGACCTTCAGAAGGGAGGAGGCACTGAAGGCCTCCTGTAGGTACTGGAGGTCTTTGTCTTACCAGTGATCAGCTTGGGCAGTATTGAAAATGTTGTGAAACAAGGTTTTGACACTAGCTGTACGAGCTGGCCAGTGATGCTACTGTTTAACCCTGTGATACTTACCATACTGAAGCATATATGTATAATGCCCAAGTTCACAAGAGATTTCACCTAGCCTGCTTGCTCATGTGCATTCCATCCTCTGAGCTGGGAGCTTCAAACTTCTGAATTTCATTTAAAAAGCAATAAAAATGACAACCATCTTATGGTTCAGTCCTTTTCATCAAAATGCATCCAACTCAAACACTTCTGCAGTAGTAAAAATGCATTAACCTCCAGAGAACAAATGAAAGCATTATAAAGCTACACAGCAGCCTTGCAGCTAAGCTTACTGAGTAAAACAGAAAGCTGTAACAGAAATCTGCTGGAAGGCCTACTTTACTTACAAGCATTTAAATAAAAACAAAACCCTGGCAGATTAGGAGAGAATCAAAATACAGATACTGGCCATAGTAAGTTCATGATATAAAAATAGCTTTCACAGTGAGACTGTTCTCAATCTCCAAGATGGAAAGTAATTCAAAAGACACATTATACCATTCTCTTTTGTAGCTGAGTGTTATGGTTTATAAACATTTAGCGTGCTTTAAGGCTTTCAATACATCTGGAAAAATCCATAAAAACTTCAGGCAAATCACTGTTCCTCTTCCTGCTGCAAGGTGACTGTAAAGGGCAGCATCCTGAATCTACTGATACTGCACTAATCTTCCACATCAGGTACAAATCACTGACTTAACATACAAGCAAAAAAAATGAAGCAGAGAAATTGTATAGGCAGTAGTTCATAATTGCAGTGGAAAGAGATGTTGGTACTAACCTGCATATTATTTAGCAGAAACCTTACTGAGAAAGTGGATGGTTGCAAGAAAAGGCTCTGGTTCTGATCCAGCAAAGCACTTCAGTGCAGGCTGGAGGTCAACAGAACCATTTACATGCTTACACTTAAAAACTGCAGCATAATACAAATATACAGCCACACAATTGTTGCTGGGAAAATGTCAAAAGATGTTTCCATTGTAAAAATCCTTACATTATTCTCAGAACCTTTCTGGACCTGCAATTAGATACAGAAACTTGAAAGATTTCTCCCACTGAAAACCCTCCTACACTTCTACATGGGTCAAAAGTGCTATTGCCATTGTTGGTTTTGACTGGGTTGGCTGACAATTTTCTGTCATGCTTCTTTTTAAGTAGAAGATTTGAATTTTGATTAAATGAAAAATGTCATGGCTTTTATTCGCCTTTTGGCACATGTCCATGCCTGCATTTAAGTCCCATTCTCCCAGTTCCACTATTTCAGTTTGGAAACCTACTGTGTTGCCCTCAGGAGAGCCATGGCTCAGGTTGTTACTCATATTCCTCCTCTCCTTCACAGGACTGAATCACTGGCTGCATCATATGGTCACTTTCACAGGGATCTGACAAACCTCTTCTACTAATACTGTTCCAAATCAGGTATACTTATTAAGTATTGCCACATTTTGAATGAACACAATATATTTTTAATGTCGGAAGAAACTATCAGTAGAATAAGGGATATGTGGATATATTTTACATCTGTACGGTCTCAAGCATTGCATGACATTTCAGCAGGGCTACTAAAAGACAAATCTGGAATCTGTATGCACTTTAATTTAAAAAGTCAGATACCTGACAGCTTGTTACCACCCATTTGTATAAACATTGCTTTATGCGATGGATTGTTTTATTTCTGAAAGGTCTGCTGTTCATTCACTTAGGAAGAGCTGAGTTTTCCAGCTGCATGTGAAATAAAAGCAGCAAGTTCTGGATTTTCAAAATGTTTATTCTTGTAGTCATCTGAGGTAGAAGGGACAGTTAATACCAAGTTAATGGATATTTTATGGAAAAGTTATTATTGTAACTCTAGAAGTCTTGCAATGTTTTCAAACAGTCCTCTTCTGTACGCTTCAAATACAAAACGTGCCAAAATGCACAAGCTATGAAGCAGCACATTTGCAGAGAAAACTAGAGGGACTGAAGGACTTTCAAAGACGAACAGAGGATTGAAAACACAAGGCTTGTATAAGTTTGCCAATGCGTATATGGAGTCCATTCATCACAATACCACTTGTGTTCAAATTACATCTGGATGTTTTCATTTTGGTTATTGTCTACATTGCAACCATTCAAACTCTAGATCAGTACCTTAAGAACACCTACCTATAATCTTTAATCTGGCATCACTGCCAATTTTTAGTTCAAAAGTGTGATGGTAAATACATGTGGGATGTGGCTGATGATTGACATTTCCATTTCCAGTGTGTATTTAGAATCACAACAAGCCATCAGCTAGCTCAGGGAGACCTGTTCATTTCTAATGGTTATAATTCTTTTCTTTTTCCTTTTTTTTTTTGAGCTAAACCAACTGCTACTTAACAGTCTTTTAAGATGTCTTAATGGTTTTGTCCTTTACCTCTTTGTGATCTTGTACTATTGTCAAATTAATTGGAATAGTTGATATGTCCAGTAGAAAGTTATAGCAACACCAAAGTAATTTTACTTTGGAGCAACTCATGTGACAAAGAAGTCACCTTTTTTCCTACTTGCTCTTCAGCAGTTCTCTGGGTCATTTTGTTGCCAGCTTTCACACTTGAACTGAAAATTCAATATTGTCCCTGATACGCTAGGTGTTGTGCATACATTCATTAAACAGCGCGGTGATCTGTCTGGGGTTGTATGGGGTTTTGTAGACAGCAGAACCAGAGCTCAGTGGGAAGCTAGCTAAACATCCATGGCATGCTCTTTAGTAACATAACAAAGGCAGGAGTTATCATAAGACCAAGCCAAGCACCCCCATGCACATGCACCAACCATAACTGGCACTGCATGGGCAGTACTCACCAGCTTCTTGATTTGCCCTGTGACCTGTTGGCTTGGGCGGTGGGAGAGGAGGCTGCTTAGCAGGACCCTTTCCCTTTTTTTTTGCATGAGGTGCTTCATTACCCTTATGGCTGGTGGTTGTGGAAGCAGCAATGGCATTTTTTGGTGGCAGTAGAGCTTTTTTAGATTTAGGCTTAGGCTTGGGTAGTGGTGGAGCATGGGATGTTGGTATTTCTGGGCAGTGACCAGTAGTGCTCTCTATGGATAAGAAAGTGAACAGAAGCCAACTGACACAGACATACAACACGTAAATTCAACAGCAAGCCCCAAAACAGTGACTAATTTTGCTGCTTGAGCTCTTGGGAATCAGGAGAGACTTAATCTTCTGCCTCTTAAGGAAGTAATTCCTCAGAAAAAAAAAATACTGTCTGTCTCAGTTCAAGTCCTTCTCACAGAAGATATTTACCTGGAACTTCTTTCAGCCTCATTTATTCTAGACCTCCAAGGATCATCTTTACATCCATTATCCTAAACGAGATTGCTAGCTGCAAACTAAACATGGGAAATGCCATTTACTCCTCTAACAAATTTCCTTGGCTTCTTTCCAACCCTACCCACCCCAAGACCAACAGGCTATAAAACTCAGATTCCTGTGAATCTGAATGTGAACATAGCCATTCTGTCAGCCATGGGTTCAAATATGGCTACGCAGCTGAAATTTTCCCCTGAATCAACCCATTCTTCTAAGATACAGATTGCTTGCTGTTAGCAACTTATTTTGGGTAACTTCTTCAGGGTATTTCTACTCTTCAAAAACAGATGAAGCTAAATCAGATAGGATATCATTTAGCATGGGAATGCTCTCCTCTCCTGCAAGTTCTTTGGGTACTGTTATATGACTGTACTTTCAAGAATCAACAGTTCATTAGTCAACAGGAATTTGGACTTTATCTACACTGTGTTGTGCAATAGGAATGGCTCTGTAGAGTGAAAGAGGTAGCACTCAGGACTCAATGTCCACAATGTGCATTCCAGGAGACTTGACTTTGTACTGTCTTAAGGCTAGTTCTGTAGATTGCATGACTGGTGGTGGTGGGAGCAAAAATTCCTGAGTGCATCTTTTGGCTTAGTTTCATCCAAAAGGAACCTGGTTTATGTGCCCTGCAAACCAAAGAAGGGTAAGTGGGGATGACTAGGAAATTCACTTCAAAATGCATGCCTAATGCCAGCTGTAATGTTACTGTAGGTAAGCCATTTACAGTCAAACATAAAATTTTGCACATAATCATTGTGGTTATAAGACTAGGTGTCCCCACATGGGAATCTTTATCTATTCAATTACACCAATTCTGTGCCCATCCAGCCTCAAGATAGCCTTCCCAAACCTTTATGAAAAGGTATGTTATTAAAGCAAGAGCATACCATCAGAATCATACGCGATTTATTTGTATGTTACTAAAACCTAAAATGGTTGGAGAAGAAAGGAGACAAAATAAATGGACATTCCCATCTCTCTTCCTTCCCACGTAAAAGATTCCCAAGAGATAAGCAGCACATTTTAATTTTAAGATTAGTAGATGAAAAACAAATAATGTGTTGGACAACAAAGACATTTCTTCATCTCAGAAACAAAGCCTTTCCAACCTCTAGCTTAAGGCTTGTTAACACGAACTCAGTGCATTGCCTGCATTATTAACAGCAACCTACATGTCTCTTCATGAACTGAAGGAATTAACATTAACTGTCCAGTGTCTTCCTCCTTTATTTCCAGCCTGTTATAGACTAACATGTTTTTGCTAAAGTTTTGAAAGAACCACTTCACAGTGACCTTTTACAGCTTTCAAACATTCTTTCAAGCACAGACTCTTATACTGTCTCTTAGTTTTTCAGAGAAAGACTCTGGATGGAGAAAGAAACATGCTTATTTGTTACATTTTGGTCTCTTCTTTTATAGCAAAAATGTCTCCTTGTGAAATTCTACCTACCTTCATTTGAAGTTGAAAAGCTGATTTAATTCTGAAAAAGCAGGACATTTTAAAAATTTGAATTCCATTAATAACAAACATGGCAAGAGAAGATACATCTTTGTATTTTGAAGATCTTGAAGGACATGATGATCCATAATAATTTTAAGTGTAAACAATTCTTTGATATACCTTTTACTTATGGATCCAGAATGCTGTAATTTTACCTACTAATATGAAAAAATTTAAAACTTGTGTACTTGTACACCATTACCATGTTTTGTGTCCAGACACAGTAGTAGAGAAAATATGAAAAACAGAATTATAACCCAGTAAAAAGTAATATTCTATGCACCATATTCTAAAGTAATACGGTCAATCTACACTAAACTATATAACTGATTAAATAACATATATCAGAATTTATCTTCTGATTCAGGGAAAAAAAGTACAAAAATACAACAAAATATAAGGCTAAAGCTTTACTTAGTTGCAAATACACACATCTTAGTGACAACCATCTGACAATTTTGGATTTTTCTTTAAAGAAATAACTAAGAACTACAAATGAAAACAAAAATTAGAACAGTTCATTCTCATCAAAGTTCTTGCTTGCAGACTTCAGTTGTGATTAAAATTGGCAATTTATATAACATTGATTTTACAGAAATGCATTGCCATCACTGGGATATCATCTTTACCTAGGACAGTTCTTTTCATAATGTTATGTACATTGTACCAAAGACTGGTAGACTCCGGCACAGCAGCATCCTATCTCCTCAGATAGTTACAGCTCTCATGAGCCTTGACCGTCCCTTGATTAACTAATGCCCTGTCTTGGCCTTGATGAGTGAATCTTCTTTTTGCTCATAGCCAGGATGAAAGCTGTGGTGAAGACGATTGCCTTTGACTGTATCATTCCTCTTGGCATCTTATTAGCTTTACTGTTTTTATCTTTGTTAGCTTCATCTTTTTTTCTCAGTGTCACTGATCTTGACCAAACTATTGTTTCTCATTTACTTGAGATACAGATTTCCAGTTCCTACCTGACCAGCCCATTATACCAGCTTTTGCCAATGACAAGCCAAGTTTTGAAGCAGACACTTTTCACTCTTTTTCTTCTCTTACCCCTCAGGCTTTTGTGAATATTCACTGACTGTCCTCCCTCAAACTCCCCTCTACTGTGATGCCAAAGCTGACAACGTTTAGTTGTCAGTTGCCAGTACTGTGCTCGTTTTCCTGGTCTGGTGTCCTCTGGTTTTTCAGTGCCTAACCCTAGTGTCCTTTCTTTTACTGCAAGTCCATTGGAAACTTTTGTGGTTTCCTGCATCTATGTAAGACATTATAATAAATTTCTGGTATATACAGAAACAAATAGTAATAGTAATACAAATAACTAATAACAACAATAGTGGTTTGATCTTGAACAGTGACAGGGATGGTCTGATGTCTGTAAATGGCTCCAGACACAATTATGTTGTAATTGTACCTCCCTAACATGATTCTGCTTGAATATGGACCCTTGGTCTTCATGCCTGCTCTTTCTTTTGCCAAAACAAGGAGGCATCTGAATCAGTTCAGACCTCTCTATTTGTTCAATCCAATCCCCCAGATACCTCAGTACCAGCTGCAATGTATTTTTATTGCTGTTTCATTTCTCAGTGTAGACATCTGTTCATTAAGAACTGACCTTTTAAGAAAAGGTCTCCAAAACACATCAAAGAGGATTTCTGCACTGCTGTCTTGATCAAGACATCTGCTGTGAAAGCAACCCACCTATAATTTACTCTTTTATCAGGAAAGCAAAGCAAATGTTAGTATCTCATTAAACATTTGGATCAATAATATCTTTATGTTTAGAATAAATTTTCCAAAGGTCAGATTTACAAGAGACTCATTTGGAGACCATATTTTCTTGATCCCAGAAATTGTGATTTGGGCCAGACTCTTAAGAAAGCTCTATTCTCACGTGAACACTTAAATGATGGTCAGAGTTACAAAGTTCTCAGTATATAACAGCTCTTATGGGGACTCACCAAGTCTCAATGACTTTCAGAGAGATGTCATATGCACTGGAAAATCAGATTTTTGCAAACTAGAAGTGGGACCTTTTGCAAACTCTGGACCAAGTGGACCAATGAAGATCCTGGGCATAGTTTCAGAAGCTAGGTTGTAAAATACAAGACTTTTTTCTTTACCTTTGTGAACTTCTAAGGAACAGAAGGCCAAAGCTTTTCTACCTGAGGATTTTGTCATACAGTACTGGTATTTTTGTTTCTCCAGCTAGAGCAGTGTCATGAAGCTACCTCACAGCAAACCCATAGTGCTGAAGCACAAGCATAGGATCTACATCAACTGCAAAGCACCCTTCTCTTGGAAGAGGAACAGAACTCAGTGGAGCAAAACTATGTAGGATGAAAATTGGAAATAATGTATGATTTGTTGTCTTTCACAGGATGACTCCCTGCACAATGAAACTCAGTAAGAGTTTTGCAAATCGTGATTTTCCTTTCCAGACTATGCAGAGAGCTGTGTTTTGATTCACCAAAACCCAGGAAGCTGTCATTCAGAAACATAGGACACAGAGCAAGACAAGGTGTCTTTTGTCACTTTTTGGACTCATTGATTGTGCTGATGCAGGTGGTCAGCTCAGACAAAACTTTTCATAAACTTAGATTCAACTGGCTCAATTTTTTGTTCGTATTACTGCTACTAAAATTCTGTTCAAGAAAAGATCCATTCTAATTGTTAGAAAGCTTCCTTTAATTTCCAGTCTAACTGTATTTCAAGCCACAGTTTATTCCTTTATACTTGTGCCAGCATTGTCCTTTAGCCATGTTCTCTTCTGGCTATATACCAGCTTGCTACATTCATCAAATGCACTCAGGCTCTCTCAGGCTCCGTTTTGCTAGACTGAACAAGAACAGCTGTCTCATGATGCTGTTTGCAGTTCTCTCTGCAGTTTTGAATTCATCTTTCTTGAAGATGGATGAGCAGATCTGCACGTCTACAAACTTCTAGAACTTACTGACTGTTTTCAACAGCACTGTGCACAAGAGGTCTTGTAACAGAGGCAGTGTAGAAAACAGGAGAGGGGAGAAAGGGACAGGTATAACATCTGACCTAAAGCCACCATGTTTAGGTGTTTTGCATTGGTTCCTAAATAAAACAGGGAAAGAACCCAACTGACTGTCATTTTACAGTGTTAACTACCCAACCTATGTGTTAGAAGTAAGCTGTTAAAAAAAGAGAGAACACCTAAAATGTATTCACTGTCAGCTGCATACTTTTACCATTTCTTGATCTATGGGAGACTTGGAAGGTGAGAGGTATGTATATTTCTATATTCACTTATACTTTCTGTAAAGATATACCCAAATAATTGAATAGTTAGTTCATTAAAATAATGTATAGTCTTAATTCTGGAGCCACATAAGGATATCTTTCTTATAAAAAAAAAAAAAAAGTTGCTTTACGAGTCAGGAGCTTCCTCTGGCACTCAACTTTTGTGGGTGAAAGCCCATGCCTCTCACATCAGCCTACTGGCATGAGCCAGCCCAGCTGACTTAATAGACAGGCTCTACCCAAATACAGCTTTATATAGAGTAGCTTTCCTTTCAAGAAGACTTGGATTCAACCTCATTTACATAGTTCAGGTGATGAATCGAAGATATACTATTCTTAGAAGAACTGGTTTTAGCCAGCAAATAACTCTGCTGGAGTGAGAGATTCTTAGGGAGTCAGGCAAAAAACCCTACAAACCTTTTATGTATGCTGCTTATATCAATGATCTACAGAGCTCAGGAGTGTAGGAAGCCAGCTAGGCACACGAGGGAGGAAAGTCTGCCTCATCTCTCACAGTGACTGGTTTGCAGGATTAATCTGAGACAAAGCAGGCTCTTGTCTGAGACCCTGGGAGATAAGGGTTACTATCTTAAATTCAACGAGTTTTGTTCTCCTTTGGGGAAAAAAAGAAAAGACCTCTGAGAAAAGGAATCTAAGAAATTTGACTTTCAAGACCATTCCTTGGTAGACAAACTAAAGTGTTAGTCAGCAATGATACATGCTCATAAGACCAGAGTTTGTACCTCCAACCTTCTCTTTTGGTTACCCATAAGGAAAAGTTTAAGATTTAAGGAGAGCAAACAAAAATATAGAGAAAGGAATCTCTGAGCCCAACATACTGGAACATTTGCCAGCTCTCATATGAGAGTACTCCTGTGGGGAAAAAAAAATTATGCGCAGGTAGCCCACGAATTCATTTGGAAACAGGACTACAAACTGTTTCCTTCCCTTAAAGACATGAGAAAACCTCAGAGGATCAATTTGCTATAAACGGTCCAGAACATTCCAGAAGCTTATGCTCCATGTCACCCACGACACCTGCAACACAGCTGTGGCTTCCTGAAATGCAATTATTTAGCAAAGCAGTACCTAATACACCTGACTGATGGTATGCAAAACAAAACTTACTACTTTTTTCCAACCATCTTGCTAATGGTTACTGAACCTTTCACTTCTTCAAGCCCAAGTTAACAATGCAATGTGGAAGCATCTACCAGAATTGTTAAAAGAGCTAGCTTGCTGTGATAAAAATGAGTAAGACACGAGTTTAAAAACTGAACTCAGCTACAAATCCAGGGTTCTCTAGTACCTCTGTGTTCCAGAGACATCTTGGGAGGGTAGAAAGGAGAAAAGCAGCTCTGACATAGTGCCAGGATGCTTTACAAGGAGCAGCATGCATGCTGTATCACTGTGCTATGCCCCTATACCTAGGGAGGCAAACAGTGAATATTTTGACACCTGTTCTACTGATGTGGCTTTTGGTCTTCTCCAACACTGCTGTAGGGGGCAGGAGGCAAAGAGACTCCTTGGATCCCCTTTGTGATGCTTATATCACACCTGGAACCTGGAGCTCTGGGGACTGCTGGGGCTGCTGCAGGCTGGTGCCATGGGTCAGGAGCCCTGACAGTGGTACAGTTCAGACTGCTGCCAGACAACCAGGGTGTTCTTTGATATACTACCTGTCTACTTGCTGCTCTGTATCCCTTGCAAGACTCACAGATAATAGCTACAGTTTAGCTCTTTATTTTCTGCAAAAGATGCTAGCAATTTTTCTTAGTCAAAACAAAAGAATTTAGAAGTCAGCCTAGCACAAACATAATGTGAATAAATGATCACAGAAAAAAAATTCTCTGATTTCTCATCGACAAAGCTTTACCAATCAATTACCTGTTTTATGTAAAACTGTCACTAGTTTCTTATCATTCTGCCATAAAGGAAAGAATTTCTTTTAAACACCCTCCTTGGATGACTGTCATCATTACTATAAATAGCAACAGTTACACTATTAAATTCCCAAAGGGAATTTTTCACCAAATACAAAAGGCACCTGTGAGCTGACAGGCAGCAGATGGGTACACAGTTTATGGAACTGCCTAGCAGCAGAGGGAACAGCTTTCAGGGGTTGTCTTCTTTACTTGCTTCTGCTTAACTCATTTTTATATTGCATGGCTGAGCCTATCGTTTGCCCTGTTGATAATGTATTCCCATAGCTCATGCTGAAATAACTTTGTTCCTTTAACTTCTTTTAATTCCTAACATATTCCACATTGTACAGCATGTTGCTGCCAATTCTCACCATATTATCACAATTTGCCTATATTGCTTGTTCTTTTTAAGATTCTGGCTCCAGCAGTCATCATATATAGCAGAAGGGCATTTTCAAGACCCACTTGAACAAGAGAGCAAGTAAAGAGCACCATCATTTCATAAGAGCATTATAAAATAACTTCCTAAGTTTCAGGGGCCGAGATGAATTTTTGGAACCCTTTGATACAGTCAGAGTTGGAACAGCAGCACAGTGTGCTACTAAACAGCAGGAAGTAATCCTGTTTTCAGGTCTTACAAATGTGTATATATCTTCCTTCAAGATTTACACATTAGAGTTGATGACTTTAAGAAGCCTAACATTAGGCTTACTAAAGATGAAGTCCTTGCAGCCACTACTCCTGATTGTCAGCTAGTATTCACTCCTATCTCAGTTCTCATGATGGAGGGTTGTTATCTGAAGCACCAACATGTTTTATGGTCTTAGCAGAAGACAGTGAGTTAGGTATGTGTGTTTCAGCACTGATTTTGATGCTCTGTGAGCATAAGCAAACCTGTACCTGCCATTGGGTGTGTGTATAATGCATACCTACTGCATCTGCCATAAAAAAATCACCCAGGACTAATCTGCAGGTGAGACATATCTGTGAGATGGAGTGGGCCTTACTCTTACACTGAGTTTAACAGGCTGGCTCACCTTCTTGCTTAATGTGCTATAAAGTAAAGAATAACTGAAGTGTATTCACAATGACTACCTGCTGAGTTGTACTGGGTCTCCACAGTGTAACACGGTTTCTGATGTGTGGAATTGCTCCTTAAACACGAAAGTATACTTGAAGTGTTTTGCATCTTCTGTACACTCAGATTGACATTCTATGAAGCCTAGAATACCAGGTTGGCTCATTTCTTGTTTTCCTTCTCCCTCCTCCATATATTCTTCATTTTCTGAGAGGGACTGGAGTGATTGCTACACATTCTTCTGTATTGAGTCTAATCCTGTACAGCAATCATTTTTAATTTCTCTCTGTAAGGTCAACACAACGTATAAGGAGTGCAGAGTCTAATTTGAAATAGATATTGAACCTTTCCTGCTTCATTGGAGTTCTGCATTCTGCAAAGTCAGCTAGAGGGGATTTCAACATAGTTAAAAACATGTATTTCTCAAATAAACTGTACCTTAGAAAAACTTCCAAAACTGAACATTTCCAAAAGGCTGTATTTAATGGTGCATAAAATAATAAGTGGTCTGATCTAACCTCAAAGTTAAATTGAACCATTTTAAAGGAGTTTTCCATGGCTTTTATAACTCTTTTCCCTGACCCAATACACATCTGGTTCTAGTTGGCACCAAAAGATAGATGTATTTAAATGTCATGACAAAGGCTAATCTTGTATTTCTGTCTTTTTGGGAGACAGGAAGTACGAGAAATCTCATAAGAAAGTCTGTTCTCCTTGGACATCTAGCCACTTTTTACATAGTCAAGTGATTTACGTAGCTCAGAGAGGAACTGAAGTTTTTGTGTTAGCCGAACCAATCCTCTCAACCTCCAGAGGCTCATTCATCACTAGGTAGAGTTTAACAGAAGACATTGGAAAGGCTGGTCAGTCTAACAGCCAGCCAAGAAGGTCTTGATCTTTTGCATCCTTGCTCTTTCCTTGAGGAAAATCCAATAAATGGAATAGTATTTAAAAACACTTTTTGACAGGGAAAATAAGTGGTGCATTATTCAAGATGTTAAAGAAAGAAAATAAAAGTGGTCCAAAAACTGTGATTCCACACTTATCTTTACATTTCCTTTATGAGTCAAACTCTTGTTACCAAAGTAGATCTCAGTAAAGGTAACAAAATTAACATGGACCCTGGGACTTCTAAATATTTAGCAGTATTTACTACAGTTCATCCATAGAAAACCCTGTAGTTATAAAATACATTTTCCATAAATAACCTAGGTTCAGTTTGAGGTAGTGATATGGCCCCTTGAATGTTTCTGCTGGACTGCAGGTATTTAAGATTCAATGAAAACCAACAGGAACAAGTTGCAGAAGTTACTTACAAAATTATACATGGTTTTCAAATGGGTTAAACACCTTTGAACGTTCAACCCATGAGCCACTTCTACAATGATATTGCAAGGTGATGCATATGCACTTAGAGTGTTCTTTCATAAGAGGAAAATTTGAAATCAAAGCTTGCCCATGGCTACAAGGAAAGGCTCACACTGAATTTAGAAATCAAACATCCCTGCACGCATTTTCATGCTCAGACCATGCTTCTCTTTATGACCTTGCTATAGGCACAGTAAAAGACATGCCTACCAAGTCTTATTCTCTCAGCGGATTCTGCTGGCATCTTTGAGGCAGAACAGAACTCAGAGCATGTATTGGTGCTAATGGAAGAACACACTAATATTTAAAGTAGCCAAAAAAAAAAATCAGTGAAGAATGCATTAATTTACCTTTTTGATCTTTTTTTCCTTCCGATGATGTTGTTTTCTCTGATAAAGTGCCATTATTTCCACTAGCTTTTACCACATTTTCTTCCTGTATGGTTTCTTCACCAATGGCTATGGTGTGTCCATTTGAAGTTTCAAAATTTACTGTTACATCACCATCTGAAATGAAAATTAAAAAGCTATTGCCTAACTGCTTACTTAGCACCCACTGACAACACATGGCATCCCTCTGCTTTCAAGATCCCGTGGAAGCAAAGCAGAAAGACTTACGGAAATGTGAAAGGCTGTAGATCTGCTCTAAAAAGTAACTGTAAAGAAACTCTATAAGCTTCCATGTTCTTTGGGTGGACATCTCTGCAGTAATGGGCTTGCAAGGCCATGTCGGTTTTCAGGTACAGCTTCGTGGTTGTACACATAAGCATCCTGTTCTCTCCCTTCCAACATGTCCCAAAAATGGACAATTAGGGGGCAGATTTGCAGGACTACCATGGTGCATCCCAGTAGGTAAATCAGCCAGGAATTCAGACAGAAGTTCTCAGAACATATATGCCCAGTTAATTAACAAAACAGTTCACAAAGACATTATCCACTTTTAAGAATCCAGGTGAAGTCTTTTCTGTATCACATATCATACCATTATTAAATTCTGCAAGTTAAGTTCTTTCCTTGATGATACTTTACTCACTTACCCAGACTACCTCAGTTTGAGGGGTTTTTTTAATCCTGAAAAGAAGTTCTTTCTCTTCCCTATTTGTCTTCATATTCCTGAAAAGTGCTACATACATACCCTTGCTGGCTTATAGCTTTCTCTGTTCCATGCATTTTGAAGTTGCTGCTGATTTTCTTCTCTGGTAATTTCTTTCTACAGGATTGTCTTGCTGTCAATCCCAAAATTATGCAAATCTACAGGGCATCTCTTCTGATTTCTCCATTGATTCTTCACTAACTGTGGTGATTCCATTCCTCTTCCTTGCTGGGTCTTATCAGACTTGGATGTTTGGCACTTCCCTGGTTTGAACAAAATTATGCAGCCCCTTTCCTACCACCCTGGGTGCTCCATGGGTTAAGATGATTGTTTCACTGTAATCCACACACTAACAGCAACCTGATGTGTAAAAGGTAAGTTCTTCCTTCCTAACCTTGTCTCTTTCACTATATCTGACAGTTGCACTTACCTTACTGCAACATTCAGTTTCTTCAGCTTCTCTCTTCCAAATATTCTTAAATTCACTCTCTCCTCTCTGTCTCCACATGTGACACTGCCACCTCTTATTCATGTTTTGGTTCTGCAAACACCTCCTGCCTCCAAGTGGCACTTGCCACCTTCCAATTCTTCTTTTTCATCCCATGTGACACACTGTCACTTCTTCACACTTCTTACCTCTCACATTTCAAGACTCCATGTAATTTCCTCATTTAGTTTTCATCTCCGTACTCATTACTTCTAACTACCTTCACACTTCTCAACCACCTTCTTTCCTACCCCTCCATTTTTAGCACCTTAAAACCAATCCCATGTTCTTTTAAAATGGTCCTTAAAAATTATAATTTTCATCAGACATGAAGCACAATGTAATGAAGGGAACACAGATCAGACCTATATAGGAGGAAGAGGATAAAATCATTCATCTTTACATCCTTTTCTCACTTTGCTCAATCCCTGTAAGGAAATCCAGACTCCCATCCCCTTTTAAGGATGGAAGAGAGAGCCAAGGATACCTGTGACGAAAGCACTCATACTTTTGGCACAAATGATAGGATTTACATTCAGACTAACCAATTCGAGAAGCTAACATATTTCACTAAGTGAAATGCAATTTACAACCTTGCAATTTATTCCCAATAAATGCAATTTACAACCTTCAATGGACAAAGTCACGCAGCTCCCCAGTAAAGCATGCAGCAAAAACCACAACAAATTCTCAGATGGACAAATTGAGGTATGGAGAGTTTACATGTCTTGTTTTAAGACAAAGACAGCAGAGACAAGTGCAGAAGCCAGCTATGCTGAATGTCATAGTCTGGTAATTAGCCAAACACTGTACAGGCAAGTGATGCCACATGTCAACAAACAAGCCCTTTACTTCTAAGTATCTATGTGCACAATACAAAGCATACACATTGATACTTTCCTGATTCTTCAGATCAGACAGAATAACAGAATTTCTAGGAGAAAAATACTTTGGGAAAACATGGAGTTCTTAGACAAATGGTTTAATTTTAAATGACAAATGGTTTAATTTTAAGCTACAGAAGATTATTTTACTCACTTTACTTTTATTTAATCTAGATTTATAGAAGATGAAGAATATTAGAAAGAATACCACTACAAACACAATCGGATGTAGCACAGAGGTATTAACCTTGGCTTACTCATGTTTTTCAAAATACAGATTCTGTCTAATACCGGTTACTAAAATTAGAGCATTTCGATACAAGTGATGTTTTCCCCACGGTTTTATGCTTGTGCCATTTGTGAATGTGGTCTGTGTGATAGTGGTGGGATCCATATGATCCCAGCACTGGTACTTTTTGATACCTGAAATGGATTAAAATGGATTATACTGATTTGTTTGGGGTCCCAAAGCCTCTAATTTTTCAGCCAAAATTTCTCATTTTATATTTCAGTGACTTTAGACAGCAGACTTTGACTCAAAAAATAGGTTTATCATCACTTCAAAAGAATTCTGGCAAACTAGGAACCACAAAAGTCACATTATTCACAGGGAATATTAAAATACTTCAGGATATGACAGAAGTCAGCTGTTGTAGTTCTTTGTCAGCTGGCCAAAATCACCTCTCACACTCCTCAGTTTGTCTCCTCATACCTACTTATACTACATGGAAACAATGCAATAGTTGCTTTATCATACGTGTTTAGTGCTTAGTAGCTAAATTCTAGTTAATGTGTTATCATATCACCTTGCTCAGGCATTTCCTTCAGCACTCCCCTTCTTATCAGCTCCTCTCTGCTTTGTCTTGTCGAAATCTTCCTTTCCAACACTAAAGAAAAAGCACAGTTAAGAGTAGATTTATTCTCATACTGCTGATGCTTGTGAAAAAAAAAGTAGGAAAATATTTTTATTTTACAGAAAACCTGAGAAATCTGCTTCCTCTGATTCTGCAGGAGAAGTGGCCTGGGTTTTCATGGATGATCTCTGAAAATATCATCCCACAATTTCAGGCACAGAAAGTGGGGACTCGTATGATCCAATATCTTCAACTGAGCAAGGCTCCTTGAGGCTTCTTTTACAGCCAATGGAAAAAGGTACTTCCAGAGTGAAATTGAATTCATCCTAGAATAGCCATTTAACATGTAAAAGCACCTCTTTCCCACTGACTGGGCAGACCAGCTCAGCTAAGAGATACCTCCATCTGCTTTGTAGAAGTTTTGAGTTGCGAGAGACAAATCCTGCTCAGAGCAAGCAGCCTTTGTGACATGCAAACTGTTTTAAAGGAAAGAAAAAAACAAACAACAAAAACAATCTTTAACAGAAGTCAGAAAGTTGTGTTCTAAAAGGAAACAACATCCTCATCAATGCTGGTGGGCTTTCATGGAAAAAAATGCAGCATCCTGTTTTTAGGTTAAAAAAGAAAAAGCAGCATACAACACACACACACACACACACAAAAGACTGTGACATGAATATTATGTTTATTTCCCATGGGAAAAAATGCTAAATAGTTTTACAGAGAAAAGAATTTATAGATGTCAAAACAGAATAGCTCCACACTGCAGCCCAGCCCCAAACCAATACAGTGATCTGGGAGATCATTGTTAAGATCCATGGGACCATGGCGCATGGCCCACAAAATGTGAGCATCACTTGTAAAATCTCATCTTCGCTGTTAGGAAAAGCTAGTCTCCCATCCTGATTCTGTTTACATTTGGACATCAAAATCCAAGTGACGTTTGCAGCTCAAGCTGAGGGCATGCGGTGAAGCTTCAGCCATGTTGGACTTCATCCTATTAATGCTATGGGATAGGGTTATTTATCTCATCAACTAATTCAAACACTCTCTAGGGTCAGTCTAATTGCTGTATGCAGATTAAATACTGCAAGAAGTATTATCAATCTCATTTGTGCCAGCCCAGTTGGAGTGAATTAGCCATACAGTGAAGTGACAGCTCCTGAGAAAGCAAGGAGAGAGGCAGTTCAGGTCTTCTAAGAAAGCTACCCTCCATGCATGGCAAAACACCTTTCCCAGCAGCAGGTAACTCAGGCTGCTGACACAACCAGGCTGGCTGACCTCACGCACCCGAAGGCATCCCTGCTCACAGCTTCCCACTCCCCTTCTCTGCCAGGGAAGGGGATGGTTGAACAGAAACACAGAATGGTTTGGGTTGGAAAAAACCTACTTCCAATCCTCCTACCATGGGGAAGGCCACCTTCCACTAGACCAGGCTGCTCAGAGCCCCATCCAACCTGGCCTTGAACAGCTGCAGGGATGGGACATTTGCAACTTCTTTGGGCAATCTGCTTCAGCACCTCATCGCCCTCACAGTAAAGATTTTCTTCCTAATATCTAATCTAAACCTGCCTTTCAGTTTAAAGCCATTACCCTTGTCCTACCATTACATGCACTTGTAAAAAGTTACTCAGATTCTGCACTTCCCAAATTTATAGCACCAGGTTTATTTCTCACACTACAAAGTTCAGGGATGCAGCAACTGCTCAACATTTCTGTGGCAAAATAGCACCAATTCCTGGCAGAAGAGCTGGAGGCAGTAAACATTTTGACCAGCCCAGTTCAAGCTACTCATGTCTGTGAGATCAAGAGCTCACAAATGCAAACAGTACTGGCCAAAGAACATGTAAGTTGGCATTAAGTCTGTGTCTATATACTCAGGTACTTTGTGAGATCTACCCATTAAAGGTCAAACCTCTGCCGCATTCAAACTGCATTTGACAATATAAAGGAGCCCATGAGTGTGGCTATAAACTTTTGCAGTATAAGCCAGCCTACTTGGGGAGAGTGTGGTAGCAGGAACTCTGATCAGGTTAGACTGCCTTGGGTCCCAAACCTAAATTACTCACAAGTTCTTCCAGTTCTTCCCCACTATTTTTTAAGGTTTATGCTTTGCAACTGTGTGTCACACATTGGCACGGGAGCATGCCCTAGTCTTGCAAAGAGTTTTTTTCATGTCAGGGAATGCTCAGTCACACAAAGACTCTTTTAAAAGACAATGGAAGTCATGAAGACAGAGGACTACATGGGCAGGTATGGATGGAGTGTCTTAGTCTTTCTAAAAAGCAGATGCAAGCTGAATGAAATCTCCTTAGAGAGAGCCCCCAAGGAGGAACACTTCATGCATACACTTTACACTTGTTTTCTTGCTGGCAATATAAAAATTCTTTTATTATTCTTTCAGCATTACAAGTATAATTTAATTACTACTATTTTTTCTCTCTGCTTCCTTTTTAGAACTGTTTTTTGGTGACAATGAAGTTATCTCTCATATACCTATTTGTGGGACAGTCGAATGACTCTTGAAAACAATAATTCTTCTTCCATGAAGCTTAAGAACATCGAATCAGACACCCCCCCCCATCAATGTGCCTCTCTAGTTTTAAGGATATTTTTTTTGGTTCTACAACACCGAATTAACAACTGTATTGAATTAATTATCAAGGAAAATGTCAATCGGCATTAAAAGACATAAACTCCTTATACTTTTACTGAAAGACCTCAAAGCATTTTATAAATTACGTAGGTTTCATAACATCCCTGAGACATAACTATCTCCATTTCACGGATTAGAAAATTTGTGAACAGATAAGAAGCTTAAGCCCCAGTCCTCCATCATCTAAAATGCTAGCCATGAGTGGTATTTTTATTTAAACTGGTTAAGCTCAATTAATTCAGCTTGAAAAGGTAATTTATTTTAAATATTATTTGGCCCGTGGAAAAAAAAAATTAGAAATTATGCTAGTATTCACTATGAGTATCATAATTTTAATTCCTACGGCGAAAAAGGCAAAATTTTAATTTAAATCAAAGTCGCCAAAAGTATGTGTTCCTGTATAAGAGGAATGAGTAGCCTGTCAACTTAGGAACTTATACTGGGTGCTATTTAGCCAGCATGGACTCATCGTTATAATTTATTGATGATTACAGACTTTAGATCAGGCAATATATTTCACATTTATACAGTTAAGTGTATTGTACCATCTGCACACCCAGCAACCATCATTCAAACATCTCCTTCCCTCCCTTCCCATCCCCTCAAAAGAGTCTGCTTAGTGATGCTCAGCAGCTACAAACCTCAGGCAGTCTTAAAACCCGTTCTCTGACTCAAAGAATACTGTGAGATTCTGGATATTTTCCAGTATTTAGTTTTGTTCTTCTAAGAGAAGCTTGAGATAATTCCACTTATTAATTTTTCTCTGACCTAGTAATAGCTAAAATTGCCTTCTGCTCCCTGTCTGCATATACTCTTGTAGCGAAGCTTTGAAGTGGCATCTACTTTGTGCCAAGACACAAACTGCTGCTTTCCTTTCCTTCACAGCAAAACATTGCAGAGAAGAGAAACTCTTGAGATGATACCATTTTCTGTTTAGTTTTACTTAATTTTGAAAGCCCTCTAGGCAAAAAGCATACAACCAGTGCCCAGAGAACAGACTTTCTGAGATGGAGCATGGAAAATATGTTGATAAAGGAAAAAATTTGAACCATCGTTCCCACATCAGCACAGATACTAACATCTAACATCTAAACTTCCATTATTTTTTTTATTTTTGTGGTATTTGCTGCTTATGAACATCTTTCGGTTGCTCATAAGACAAAAAGCACTCTAAGGTACATGGCCTGGCAAGGCTGTAGCAAGAACCTGTTTTAAAAAGCCTATTGAAAACCCAGAGAAAGCTATAAGAGTTCTTTCCAAAAGCCTACATTCTGTCTTAGAAGAAAACTCATTTTTCAGCTGCATACAGACTTATCAAGTTGTAGCCCTGTTAAGAGAACAGGCAATAAATGAGGATCATCATCCTCTCTCCCACAGTCTCAGGCCAGGAAATGGGCTTCCTGCATATAAGATGCACACACACATACACACAGCCCCCGTTTGGTAATGTAAATACATCTCTGATGGAGTAGTCTGAGGAAGAGGATATCCTGTAGAATTTTTATTTTGTATGGATGTCTTCCCATTTCTCTCTCAAGTCAAATAAGTAAGTTTCTTCTCCTGTGTCAGTAAGCACGCAACAAGGGGCAACTTGCCACGTAAACGCGTCATCTCAGCCTCCATTGGTCCTGGGTCTATTTCCTCAAGAAACACGGGGAAAACTAATTTTTTCCTCCCTGAAATTACCATCTGAGGCAGGATGGATGCAATCCAAACTACTTTTCATTTTAAATTCCAGCCTCACATGAATAAGTGACCTCACACACAGTTTAAAAGTAAATTGCTATCTTGAGGGATCACATCATCATAAACAAGACCAGCAAATTAAGTACTAGCAAGTAACTAAGAAGGCACTTTTGAAAAAGCTGATCTTAATTTCTTTGTGCTTAATTTCCTCCTTCTGTAAAAGAAATAGGAACACATATTTTGCCTTGGTATTATAAGAATTAATGTGTCATTCTTGTAAGACTGCCAAGGATCAAACTGTTCTTCTACATGTAAAATATCATGCCTAAATAATCCCTGCCACCTAACAAGCTCAAAGAGCTCTGCAAAACCATCATAGCATTGCCTACTATTTGCCACCAAAGGGCCATAGACATACCTGCTGATGTTTCTCTGAATTTGTCACTTGTCTTCTTCTTCCGCCATTTCCAAGGTTTAAAGATTTTGCCAATGTTGGAGAGTTTGCCCTTCCTCTTGAAGGGGGGAGTTTGGGATCCTGGGGCTGGTCCTTCTGAGTTAGCAATTGAAGCCTTGTCCAAACCATCAACTGTATAAAGAAGAAAAGTAAGGGTAATTGAAGGATGGAAAACAAAATGGTACCCCAAAACTAAACACCTCCACTGTCAGACTGCAACAAGCTGTGTGTGTATCTGTGTGGCTTTTTTCCTGTTCCAGAAGTGAGCCAAGGGGCATCTGATCTCAGCCTGTGGTCACCAGCCAGTCCCCACCCCAGCTTGCCCTGGGCTTCACTGCTTCTCAGCATCTCAACTGCAGCTGTCCAGAACTTGCTTCTTGTGATACACATCTGGCACATTTGCACAGTCCTGTGGTTTTCCATCACTACTGGAGAATTTCTTTCAACATATATTTGGGTGACTTTCTCCCTATCCTTGGTAAAGTTGAATAACTAGCTATCATCACACAGAAAACAAAACCCTTGTAATGTGAAAACATAAACTATTTTTTGAATGAAACAATTCCTTTCTTAAACAAGCTCTAAAGTTAGCTGTTCTGGCAGTGGAATGGAAACAGGTCTGTTCGATATCCCTGGTAATCAGTCATTCACAGTGCAGCCTGCCATGAGTCAGGCTTCTTATTAACAAAATGTATTTAACAATAAGCTTTTGAACTGTAGATAGAATTTAAAGAAGGATTACTTTTCTGCAAAAACATACTGATTGATATGAAAGCCAATATTTATCATCAATGGCTCTAACATCAAGTTTTGTGAACCAAATTAAGACTCATTGCACAATATGCCATAGCATACAGTTAAAATAAATTTCCTAGATATTTTTGAGACATCTACTATCATTTATTTCTATTTAAGAACTAGAGTTTCTTAAAGTGTTCCACTTGTAGTCCTGCAAAGACTTCAAATGTCCTGAATTTTACTCATGTGAGCACTGAAGTAACTGCAATTACTCACAGACATTAAATTAATAATGGGCTTAACTGTTTGTGGCATACAGGCACTGTAATTGCTTTCATTCATCTAAACATTCTAATTATAGTCAATTCAGAACAGAGTTGATGCTACTCTGAACAGTAGCAATGATAATCATAGATCATTAAATCAGAAATTCTATTGAAAGAAAGAAGTATCAGTGTTCCCATTTTACAGATGGAAAATATGAGGCACAGAATTGCTAAGTGCTTAATTCTGTGTTTGCCAAATGGCTTCCTGAATCCTGGTCCTGTGTCCTAGCTGCTAAAAAGATATATATTCAGCCACATAACATCATGGTGCAATCAAATTCTGTTTCTCAGACAAATGGCATTTAATGAGTCCTATATTTGTCCTAGGCTTTAGATTGATCCAGGATTCTAGAAAAAAAAAATCTTTTCTATGAGAAAGCTGATGTAATGCAAACAGAGTCCAAGGAACTTTATTTCCAGTGTTTCGAAACAAAGTATGGGAAGAAAGATCCATTGTATAACCTCACTGAAGTCTATGAAGTTAAAATCAGAGATAAATTTGTATGAGAACAATAGCATTTAAATCAATAAATATGAACAAGCTATACCATAAAATTTAACAAATTCTGTACTGCCTGAGAGATGGAAAACTTTCCCAGGATAAATTACTGTTAGTCAGATATAACAGGGTTTAAAGCTTTTCTTACCCAGCTTTGGGTATTTTCTGGTTCATAACATGGAGATAAGATAGAAGGAAGGCATGCAAGTGGATTTTGAATGTAAACCACCAAGATTTTGCTAAGGACTCGGCTATGTTTACCCCTTGCAGGAGTACAAAATCCCAGCTTCCTCACTTGTGTGCCCTAGACAACAAGTCAATCTTTAGGGCGGTTTAAGCTAAAACTCCCTTAAAATGAACCAGCTGCCCCCCTACACACCCTGAGAAGCCAGGCGAGAGGTGAGGGATGAGGAGAACACCAAAGGTAGTGAGCAGCTCTGTAGAAAGAGAGAAGCATAAGACACCAGAAGGAGCCCTGCAGGGATGCCTTGCCTGAAATTAGGGATTGCACTTTTGTCTGGGCTTACAGACACTGCCTATGGAGTGCAGTCCCCTGTGGAATACAGAAGCCTCTGCTGGAAACTATCGACCTAAGGGAGAAGTACATTTACTTGAAGGGTACTTACAAAGACAAGAGAGCAAAATTTATCCTAGCAATTCCAGTTGACATAAGAAGGAACAAGGGCCACAGCTTGCAACCAGGAAGAGTCAGGTGAGAGGTAAGAAAAACACTTCCAGGAGGTGGGTGGTACAGAACTGGAACAGGTCCTGGGAGGCTTTGGAGGCTCAACCAGGCAAGCCTCAAAAGCTCTTTCTGGGGCTGACCTCACCTACACTTTGAAACAGTCCTGCTCTGAGTGAGGGCCTGGACCAAGTGACCTCCTGAAGTCCCTCCCAGTCAAGATTCCCGTGGGTGCTAAGGGATGCGGACAGACATGGTTCCTCTGTGAAATCTGCACTAGTAAACCCAAACAATCAGAAGTGAAGTGGTGAAGAAAAGAGACTAGGATCAGCTGGCTGTAGAGTTCTGTCCTGGGACAGCAGCCAAGCATTATCTCACTGGCAGAAGCAGTCTATCAGCTCAGTAGAGCGAGAGGCTACCTACCCCTTGAGGCAGCAGGACAAAACCCATGTTCTTGCCTCCGATGGCTTAAAAAGGCTGGGCTAGTGGTGTGAAGAGCCTGCATCCTGGTGATAGACAGCACAGTCTTACAAACACTATAACACCAATATTTTCAAATCGTTCTGAGTCATGGAGTGTAGTGTATTGCAGGCAACCACTTCCACAAAAGCCTCATCTAGATTTCTTTCTCCTGTGTCTACCAGCAGAAATGGAGGAGGATTAGGGCTCCAACAGCTCCCCACAGAGACATATGGATTTGTATCAGTCCCTGCTCTGCCTTCTACTGAAAACAGAACTCCAAAATAATGACCCTAGCTACAGAAATCTGTCTGCTTCAAATGAGCTAAGACATGGAACTCATGGGGAATAATTCTGCTCAGAACGACTGAAACTTTTGAAAACAGACTTCAACATTAACTACTTCTGACAATAAAAGATGAGGAGTTGATTTATAAAGCAAGTTCAACAAATGCTCACAATTGGGAATTTACTAATCTACTGGCACCTTGTAGCAGTTCCTTCATTTGAAAAAAGGACCCAAATATGTATCTAGCAAGGACTAATAAGCATAGCTAAGTATCACAGACCGATTTCAGAAATAATGTAAGATAAAGTAACATTTCCAGGAAAAAGAATTTATTTATATTCAAAAGCACATATATTACATGTATTACAAATATATTCATAAGGTAGTACATTTTACCAATTAATAAATTACTTAGAAAAAACCGCACAATTTCAACAATAATGTTTCAGAGCATTTATGGAAAAATCTTTACAAAAGCTATTGCTCTTCTTCTTTGAAACATTCAGCAGGAAACTAATGTTTAAGATTTACACTATTTGCTTTATAGGTCATGTACTACTTAAGAATAAAGCAGTGTATTTTTCACCTCAGATTTTTCACCTCAGAGAGCTTACCTACATTCTATTAATCATTATAAATGTTACACATATTCAGAGATGAAAAGAAACATCTTAACTTCCCACCACAAGGAGTCTGGTCACTTGTGTTATTCTTTTATTTTTACAGTGTCTTGAAGTCATTCCTTCTTCCACCATCTCCAAAAAGCCAATGAGTCCTTCACTGCCTTCATTAAAACTTCATTATTAAGTTAGACATTAGGACTTTTGACTATACTACCTACATCGTTTATCCAGTCCTTTGCCCTAAGTGAAGATTTTACATCTGAAGGACATAACGCGTACATAAGGATAAGAAGAAGTCCATGAATCATGTACGTTGATGTAACACAAAGAGGAGATCTTGTTGTAAAAGACCAACAGCAATGGTAACGGAGACACCGAAAAGCCAAATCATGCCACATGAGCCATAAGTTAGATGACTAGTTTAATTATATTATTCTTGTCATAAAGACTCTGCAGATCCTGCAGTAAAAAACACTTAGGACTACATAGAAGAAAAGAAATAAGGCAGAATTTAGGTGCATATGTCAAAAGTTTTGCTATTAGGAGTCTGAAAAATTCTCACCAAATGCTCCCTGACTCTGAAGGTACAGGTGCCATTAAAACTATCTGAAGTCTCTGCTTTTCTGTATGCAAACAGCATCCTATACTGAAATTTCACAGCAGAGTGGTTCTGGTGATGAAGGCAGTCTGGGAAGTTTCTTCCTCTGCACTTTCCTTCCTGATCCTAAAAAAATATGCCATCTCTTCAGTTGTAAAAATACAGCTGTTCATTGGGTTTCATTGCAAGTAGATCTCTGACTGATACAGACCAAAAAGGCCTCCCCCTTTCCCTTTTTAAAAGTTTTTAAAAATTTTAAATCTGAGCTTTTTTAGTGATCAAGCCTTCAGCATAGTCCTACAAACATTTGCAGTGTCATGGTTGGGTGAGGAGCTGCTGCACAGGGCAGGAGCTGGGGACTGAACTGGGCAGACAGCCTAAAGAAGCTCTGCAGTTGCAGCCAGGGTAGCAGGACATTCCAGCCATGGACCCAACAGTGCTGCACAGCCAGGCATGTGCCCGAACGTGGATGAGCCCACAAAATAAAGCACACTTTTGCCTAGAGCATTCACAGGGTAGGTGGAAGACTTGGGGGTTTCCCCCTTCCTGAATAAATAGTGTTGAAATGTATTACCCTTCACTTGAATCTGACACTAAAAAAGAAGTATTACAGGATTGTAATGCTATTAAACCTTAAGAACAGTTACTCAGAAGTATTTGTTCAGAAGTATTCCTTTCTTCTGTCTTTCCACTCACCAGCACCCTTCTACAGAACTGATCTCTAACCCTGCTGGAGCACTGGGATATACATTTAAGGGATTCTTCTCACATCAGGGTTGCTAAGTACAAGACAGTACCAGCAGAGCTACAAGTTCTCTTTCCCCTCTGTACTGCACCTTTCATGCTGCGTTTTCTTCTCCCACCCACATCTCCCAAGGCTCACCCGCCTGCACTGCAATTCTGCTCTGGATCCTTGTC